CGCGGCTTGGGACAAAAAGCTGCTTTTGTAGCTTAGGCTCGAAGGCTCGTTGAACGGGCTGTCTTTGTAGGAGACAGCTTGTTTGCCTTAGCTGTGCTCCTCGCGTTAAGGCGTTCTTCTTGTTTTCTATTCTGTTATGAACCTGGGTTTCAGATTCGGTCCATGTCATTTCAGTTGCAGAGCAGAAAGCGTGAAGCGATTGCTCAGTAAATTTACACCCATGCGCGCACACACGAATTATGCTGCCTGCCTGCTGGCTGTGCCATGGGGTGTTGTGCTTGCTAAAGACTGGCGAGAAGATGTTGTTAAGTGCTTTGCGTTCTGTGCAAAGTAAGACTTCCAGCTATTCTAAATAGGCTGTTTGGGAACTGGTCAAAAAAAAGTATCTCTGGAGATTGTGACACATATGCTTAGGAGTAAAGATGTACTAGTGTGCGTTTTTAAACAGATGCTGCGCTTATTCTTGCAGAAAGTTTAGAAATGTACAACCTGTAATTCAGGAAATGGAAGACACGTGGGACAGTTGCAGCAAAGCTGATAACACTGAAACATCAGATACAGACCAGCCAGCTGCACTCCCCCAAATAAGAGAATTTGGAGGCCCTAAAGATGCAGACCCAGCGGAGAAACCTCTGCTTTCAGAAAAAGCTACAGGCACAATGCAATCAAATGAGGAATGTGAGCAGCAGCCAGATCTGGGGGAACAGGAGCAGTCAAGTGCAGCGCAGTGGGAACTACCTGCAGAAGGACTAGACAGTCAAGAAGAACTGATAGAGAATATTGAGCAAGATGAATTTGAGCCGGATGCCTCAAGCATCATATCATCTGATAATGCATCTCCTGTTATAATTAAAAAGTACACTACTTTACCCGAATTAAGAATTTCAGAAAAGGATCAGCAAACATCTCAAAACTTAGTACTGTCAGAAGATACAGCAAGCGCCACAGTAACAGGTAAAGAATTTTTTGAACCCTGAACATTACTACTCTAAAAAGATTTTTTTTCCTGTAGCTTGACTGTGGCTTCTTGCACACCTTCCCTGCCGCAATTTAGTTCAAGTTTGTGTGTTTTTGACCTTACAGTGACTTTTAAAATTGTCATGGAAAAAAGTACTTGAGAAGGTGAGGAATGTATTTATCTCAAGTTGTGGATGCAAGTTATGGACTAAATAATGGTATTTTATAAAGTGATCCTTGCTTCTGAAAACATACATGAGTATGAATGTGTGTTTTGTACATGTATTTTAAAAATAGCAGTGCGTAATTCAGATGATGACATGGGCTACTAACAATTTAGACTAGATCATAGCAAACACTTTACCATTTTACATCTCTAGCTGCTCTGTAATTCACCTGCTAGCCTTCTATTCTCCATGCCTTCCACCTGCAATCCTTTAAACACTTCAGTATTTCCTGCAATTTGTTTCTCTCAGTGTTGAGTGTCCTGCATTACTTTCTCTTTCTTAAGTCTTTGGAGCTGAATGGTAGCATATTCTGGTAAGCATGTGAGGGCATTGACTGATTCGTCAGATTATGGAGCTGCTGATTGTGCAGTCTATACCATACTTCTGGCTCATTTGCATTCAAATGTTCTTATTTTGAGTAGTCAGTGGTCACTTCCTAGGAAATGCACAAATGGAAAGGAATAAATGTCAAATGAACATCCTATCCATGAGTCAAAAAGAAGTAACTTTTGAAGCTTCAAGTTCTTCTGGTTCAGCATGTTGTCTTTGAATAAGCCCCACAGAGTGAAGTATCGAATACAAGAGTGAACTCATTTAGCCATCAGATCAGGAGCAGTTTTAGGTCAGATTTTCAAAAAAAATGTTGAGTGTATAAATTAGTAACTTTGATTTAAAATTCTTTATTTGCAAATACAATAAGTAAATATATTCATTTTATGTTTAGTATTGTTTTTTAAGTATAATATGCATGACTATCTAGTGTCAGTATAACATTAGACATCACTTTTTTAAAAAGTATGTGATAATAATGTGTCAGTTTTTATGTAAACTCTTTTCAGCTGAAAAATCCATGATTATTCTGTGTTGCAATATTTCAATAAAATCATCTCAGGTAGGTAAGTTTGAAATTGTTATTTATTTGTTTTGAGAATAACATCATAAATTAGTGGGTGTTTTTTTTTTGTTTTGTTTTGTTTTGTTTTTAGGGAGTGTGATTGAGGATAAGGCAAATCTTGCAGGAACTGGGGCAAAGTCTCCTGAAACTATCCAGTCTGAGGTGTTATGTCTTGGCCCAGAACATTTATCTAGGAAAGCAATGCAACAGGAATACCACATGCCTGATGTAATAACTGTCAGAATACAAACAGGTAAATGGTGTTTTAAAATGTATATTAATATGTATTATCAAACTACAATCTCAATTTGTTACTTAAAGAAATAATATTTTGATCCTGTAACTTCCATTTCAACAGATTCTGATTCATTCCAAGATGTAACTGTAAAAATAGAAAGACCTACCTATCATAAACCATTTCTGGGTGGCTTTAAACATAAGATAACAGGAGTGGAATTTCATAATGCAGGCTCACAAACAGTACCCAAAAAACGATCTGACAAAGGAATTGAAGTATTTTGCAGGGAAACACAGGTAAACTGTTTATAATGTTTTATTTAGAATGTTTTTTGCCAAACTGAATAGAATGTCAACTCGATTATTTCAAGTAGGAATGAAGCGATGAGAAATCAGTATGTACTTGAATGTATTCAATGGATGAATATTAGTCTTTGTGAATTTTTTATAGGTAGTTAATTTTACCACTTATTGTAATAAGGAAAAATCTCTATGTATTTTGTTATAATTTGACATGCATATTTTTCCAGACAGTTTTTGAAAAAAATAAGCTCCAACAAACAAAAAATACAACATCCACGCAGATGACTAAAATTGGCCTTTATGTGTCAAACGTGACTGACAAACTAATAAGACCTGGAAAGTATGTTACAGCGGATGAGTATCACAAACGTAGACTTGAAGCAGTAAGTTTTTACCTGTTTGAAACTGTGTGTGTAAAGACTGCTTAAAGTTTAAAACGTCTACTTAATCGTCACTTTTTTTTTTTTTGATGAAACATGGGAGGCATATGTCAGCTCACTTACAACATTAACGGTTTTTTTAGCAAGTTTGAGACTTTTAAGTTTCTTTAATATTAAGAATTCTGAATTTAAACTTAAATTTGTATGTATAGTAGTAGGGGTGAAAAATAAACTTGTTCCTGTGGCATTCTCATGATCTCTTTAGAAGGGCCCAAGCTACATGCTTGATGCCATGAATGACCTCATAGAGCATTAGATGAACATACAGGAGACCTGTATTCAACTTCTGACCAGTGTGTGGGTTTTTTTGTGTGTGTATGTGTGTTTCTTTAATAGGTAGGTGACATTTGGCAAACCGATTCATTTTTGAATCAGGCTACCTGCTTTGGCATTAAGGTAGAACCTGCCCGTTCAAATATACGCAGCATGCTTTGTGGGTTTTCTGATCTGAGAGACTTTTGGGGCTACTTTATGCGGGCTCTCTATATAGTTAGGGTGCAGAGGTCACCATTTAGGCATTCTGTTCTGATTTGCTCTTTGATAACTTTCTATTCAGTGACTGCACATGTAAATTAAGTACTCCTAATCGTCACGTTAGACTGGGCACCTGCTTCTTAAATATTTTAGTTCTTAGTTTGGATGCTTAAAATAGTCTGAGTCTAGCTGTCTGTGCATTGGTTTCCTCAACTGTTGAAGTGGGATAATTGTATTGATGTGGCTAGCAAGGTGCTTTGAAATCTCTTGATTAAAAGCTTTTGTAAGAACGAGATATTCTTAATTAGATGGTTAATGTCAGCTAATAGCAATAAGCATCTTGTGCAGATAGACCCGACAGGCAGCATTATTGCTGCCTACTGAAATCATTAATGTTATAAATGTCAGCACTACTCTCCGTGGTATAGTGTAGCATTTTGGTTTTAACTGTTCTTATGTCTTAAATAGATGATTCTTCTGTATTGTATCACATGTAGGTTGTAGTATTACAGACCTATTTCCGTCGTTGGCATGCGATAAATCTAGTACAAAACCTGAGGGAAAAAAAGAGATTAAGGCTGAAATGGGAGGCACAAGAAGAGTTAAACAAAAAAAGAGAGAAAGAAGAAAAACTAAGAAGGGAGCATGAGCGGAGAGTGAATCCTAAAACAAAAGAAGACTTTGAGCTACTTTACCATGCTTTGGAATGTAAGTTTTTCTTAGAGATGCTTTCAAATCAGCAATATTTTGTTTAAAGCAGTATATTTGGTTTAAAACCAAATTTTCTGCTTTTATCGTTCTATAGCTACTTCCTTGAATGTTTTTGACTTACAATGGAATTTCATTGTTAAAGAATTATTTAATGATCATATATTCCTAAAAGCCTTCTCAGGAGATAATCAGCTTATAGAGTGCTGCTGATAGTTGTTCTATTTGGCAGTTTTACTATTTTCTTCATTTACATCTAATGTTAAGGCAAGTTAGAAAAGCCAGACCTGTTTTTGTAGAGTAATAAGATTAAAATAACTCTGACACATTTAAGTAGTTGAAAATAATGCCATAAAGAACTCAATGTTCAGGTCCATTATTCATAATTTAATATATTCAATTTTTATAGTGGATTAAATTCTTACCCAGAATTTTACAAAAGAGGCTCTTACTTCTATCTGTGCCCTTTTCTACTGTTTTTTTTTTTTCCTCTTATTTTCTCTGTTTCATGGTTCACTATACTGTTGTCAGTCCTACAGGGCATCTTCAAAGACTTATTCTCTCACTGGAGTGAAACGTGTCTAATATAGGCAAGCACCTCTAACCTTTCCTGGTAAAGTAAGGTGAATACTGCAGATAATTGGCATACCAACTTGCAGGAGAATGACATTGCAAATATAACAAAAAAAGCATAATCCTTTTTGGAAAAACAGAAGTGAAAATCAGTAGAAAGCAATGGACTTATACCAGCATATAATAAAACTACACGAGTTCTTTTAAAATGTCTCCTTTAAACAAGGTACTTGTGTTGTGACTTGTAACAGCACGTTACCTAAGGCTGCAGTGTTTGCTTAAAGCATAAGTCTTCAGTAGTTGTTACTGTACTCCTGTTGGAGATGTGCCTGTTGCACGGTTGGCAGAATGGATCACCTACTTCCTTGAATAAGCTGTTAAAGCTGTTTCTTCCACAGTAAACTGACCACAAATTTGATGACATGTTCGGTAGTGAAGGCAACAGCCTTAGGATCATGATTCAAGAAATCCTGAGTTATAATTCTGTCATGCTTTCTGTGTGGCCTTGAACAAATCACTTCAATTGTTTGAAAGTGAAAATGACTTAAAATATCGTTCTTCGTGACAAATTTAGACATCTTTAGTGGTCTTGAGCATTTGAGTTTTGGGAATGATCTCTTCATGGGATTTTTTTTTCCCCCTTCCCCCCACCTTTTTTTCCTCCCCCCCCCCTTTTTTTTCCCCTCCCAAAAATGTCTAGCTTTTCACTTTTTAAGAATCAAGCTTTTTTACAAATATATATCTGATTAGGTAATAAAAAACCAAGGCACTCAGATCACCATTTTTTTCCTCTCCTTTTATTTCAAGTCCTACTGTTTGGTATCTGATTTCTTCTAACGTTTTGTTCAGAAAACTGTTTTCTGGTTAATGTTCTATCAACTGCGTGATCCAGTGGGTTTTTGTTTTTGTGTGAAGAGTCTTATTTGCTGTAGAAACAACAAAGCTCAGAGCTGAACTTGTGAATGAGCCTAATAGTCCTAGTATTTTTAGATTTGAAAGTTGTGGTGTTAGAAGGGTCTCTTTTGCTTATTTGTGAATCCAGTGGTATTTAACTAACAAAACCTTTAGCTTTGCATGTTCAGAAATTAATGTATCAAGAAATTAATGCATCAATTAGAGTGTTAACCTGAGAAGCATGTGTCAGTTCAAATGTGATGTGACAGAACAAACGCTGGTGTTTGACATGTCTTTTTCACCTTTTGGTGTAAATAATGATCTGATATCAATCTTTGTTTTTGTTTGCTGTTGTTGACTAGTTGCTTCTCTATAAAGACATTTGCAGTTTTTCTCTTTATTATAATGGAATTTGGTGATTCTATGAACTATTTTTTCTACCTGCAGCTGAAACTACTTTTACATTCTTACAGTGTCAACAGTCTACACAAGCCAATCATTGTGACACCAATAGAATGAGATTATTGTCCTCTAGAGAGCTGTGAAGGGTATTGCTACAGATCACAATGGGGGGATATTATTACAGGGTCAGCCAGGACAAGCAATTGCTTTTCATACTGAAACTTACCTGCTGACTGTATGGTGTAAATGAAATATAGATATATGTTCAATGTATCTGCATCTACAGACATGCATTATCTATTTTTAAAAGTATTAACTATTTTATTTATATGCTTTGTAAAAATTAGAATAAAAATTTTAATGAATACAATCTGCATGCCTGTAAAACAGACAATATAACCCAAATATTTCTAACTTGATTGTACATATGTGGTCAATCAGTAGATGAATATTGATTTTTAATTGGGTTTGAGAGGCTCTTCATTTCTGTAAGCACGAAATTGCTTGCTGTATTTATTAGCTTTACCTGTGAAACTGCTGCGCCCTTCAGGCACATAAAGCTTCACGTAAACCCATGCTATGCAGTGCTATTGTTTGCTAAAATAGTTTTATCTGAAAATATCTTGGGGTACTCGGAACTTGTCAGATAGCCATCACATTATTACCAAAGCTTGGAAATCCTTAAGGAAATGAACTGAACTGCTTCAAAATGGAAAACAAGGTATTGTAGATAAGAAAACCACAGGCAGAAAATAAATGTTCTCCCTCTAACTTTCCCTTCCCCGCCCCATTCTTTTGTGATACAGGATATTACAGATTTTTGCAGAAGTGTACATTACATACTGGACTGTTTTCTTTTAACCGTACTTTGTTTTTGTATAACTGTTCAGAAGTAATAAAGACACTTTGAGATAAGATTCAGGAATGTAAAAGTTTTAGACCTTACAAAATCCCCCCACTCCCACTAAAGAAACAAAAAACACTCCAGGTGTATTTGAAATGAAACAGACCTCTCAAGGCCAAGAGTTTTAATATTGTATGCAAAGAAAAATACTATTCAGTAAACAGGATTCGATTTTACTAACAGATTTCTGTAAGGGCATGTAATCTGTGCATCATCAGTTATAGTCAAAAAATGAGTGGTACAAAATAAATGATAAAACACCTGAATGTTTTTATCATTAAGTAGCTTACATATTTAGGTGCAGCAAGTACCCATGGTTTGGTAATTTGACTGTAACAGTCAGAATGCCAGATTATTAACAGCATGTACTGATTCACATGCTGCTGGCATTATTATTGTGTGGTTTGCACGTCACTTTCTTTCACTCGAAAGACTCAGTAATAGCAGAGGAAAGGGAGAGTAAAGATAACTGTCTAACTGTTAACACATGTGAACTCCATCTTCTCAGATGCCAAAAGATGATACCACTGAAATACTCACTTTATGACCTTGAGTGCTAAACTTGACTGTCTAAATTTGACTAAGTTTTATCTCAGTTCTGGATGACTTCAAGCTTCTTGAGATGTTATTACTTTATGCAGGGAAAACAGTAGTGTTCTAAGTGCTGAATACTTGTGGTACCATGGCAAGATACTGTTTTTCATCAATTAATAAGATCTTTATGGTATTTTTTTCTTGCATCTTTGTTCTGTGATGATTTTTAACTGTCATTAGGAGTATAGTTGTTTATACCCATTAGAACTGTTTTAAGCTCAAACAGCTGTTTCTGATGCAAAATCATGAAGAAATCATTTCATCGCACATCTCTAAGAACTAGATTCTTCCATTTCACATGCAGAGTTCCTTTTTTTCCTCATAAATCATGTCTGAGAGTGCAGCATGAACTGACAGTTTGGCATTGATATACGCGCTCACTCAGTCACAGAATATCTATATAACTTACAAATTTAATTTCTATGCCACTTTATGTGTATTGAGAATATCCATAACAATCCCCTAACATGCAAGCTGGCTTTTAATTAATGAAAACAGTTAATATGTTATTTCTTAAAACCAGCTTCTTGATAAAAATACCAAAAACACTTTTATCTATAGTATGGAGGCAGGAGGAGATTGAATGGATTAACAGAACTCTTACCGGACCTGCAAGAAAGGCAGCCCTTTGTGGACTTCTAGAACAAGAGGCACAGCTGATTGCTTCCATTGGGAGATACAAACTAGATGCAGATGAGGAGAAGCAACAAAAAGCAGTACTGCAGTTTCTGGATAAGGTCAGTGAAGTGATTTTAGGCTGAACATAAACAATACCAAAGTACGGGATTATAAAAGACATCTGCCAACTATCTGACAAAAGTATCTCTTGTAGCTTTACCAGTTAATCATGTGAATGCAAAATTTATCTGTAGTTTAATTATCTTGATTTTATTCATGTAAATACAATTCGGTGATTTTTTTTTCCAAGCTGAGAATTTCCAATCTCTGTGACAGATTATTGAAGGAAGATGAGAGCAATGCATCATTAAGGCTGTCGACCGAGTTTTAGCATAGACACCACTAGTTATATACCTAGTATGAAAATTAGCACAGAGTGGATAATTTTGCGTTATGTAACTATTGTGCCTAAAAGACATGATTCTGATGGCACTGTTGTCAGCATTAAAGGGTCAAATTCTAACAGAATTCCTATTTATTAATTTGGAGTTATAAAGCATCAGGATAATACTTATTACATATTTTATTTTGTGTGAATTATAATGATGTAGGAATCCAAGCATGAAACCTTAACTATGTTCACTCCTAATCTATTTTTTGAAACATTAAAAATCTGCCGGTTAGCTTCTCTTTCCAAAAATACCCACTTTTACTAATCAAAACTAAGTGATTTTCCCCTCTGATATGTTCTGTTCATTGCTCTCTATACTGAAAAGTGTGCTCTTGCGTTTTAACTTTCGATGCAAACACTTAAGCACGCCTTTAAAATTAAATTTTAGCCTTGAAGAATAGATTGATAGATATTTTCTTTTGTTCCCCACAAAATGTTATCATACAGGAACTAGATTCATCACTTATTCCCCCATTCAGCATAGGCTTTGGGTCGTAGTTGATCATATGTCTGTCTTCAAATTAAGTACTTATTCTGTGTTCATGTACAGGATAGAAAGTCAAGAGGGCATGACTGCATCTTACCTTATTAAACACAGGTACTGCATTGACTGGTTTCAGTTGGGCTAGAATTTTAACCTGAAACTTTATTCATGTATGATTTGGGAGATGAAGTATACTTCAGTCTTTCATTTATAAAAACAAAGATGAGAGTACATTTATATAAAGATGATTTAGAATCACATTTAAGCTTAAAAGTGAAACATTTTGAAAACTCCTTAGTTTCCATAGCTAGGAGGAAGAAACAAAAGTGCAAATAATTGGCAAGCAGTCTAGCAGTTCTTCATTGCTATGGTACCTCCATGAAATTTGTCAAAGGTATTCTAAATAATATTCGCTGAAAATTGGTTTAAGTGAGGAATGGATTTTTTTTGGCATGAGTTACATGAAAGCGTTGAAGGCTGTTAGGCTCCCTTCAATCTAAAATGAGGAGAAAGCTATGAAGGTATTTAGAAGAACTTCACCAAAATGATGATAAAGGAAAAGATATAAATATTTACATGAAATATGTAATAGCAACATACTGGAGATGCAGACAGTAATGAAAAAAACCAAGAACTGGAAGAAAAAATATGAGAACAGAAAAAGGTATAGACAAATTAGTTATGTTCGTGAGTTTTATGTTAGAAATGTGAATATTAAGACGACTAATATACAGCAGGATGAAGTATATCTTTTTCTTGGTGTTTTCAATATTCTTCATGAAAAGTGTCATTTCTCTCTATATTTAATGATAAAAAGGAAAAAATGACTTTTTTTGTCCAACAAATATTTTTATTGTTCCTTCTTTTTAATATTGGCATATGAGAATTGCTCAGCAAAAAATGATTTGATTAAAATCTATGACCTTTCTTCATTACAAACAAGTTACTTGATTTGAAATGCTGATGGAACCTTTATAGAGTTTATTATCATAACATGTTTGTATTCTATGTTACAGCTTTCAAGAGCGTAAAAAACGAGGAAACTAAATACTTAGGAATGATATCAAAATCATGAATTGCTTCTATGCTGAATGTTTGCTTCTATCTTCTAACACCTATTCCATTAAAATAGAAGAAGGAAAAGGTGTTTTTTGCGATGTCCTATTTCTTCCCCAGCAGTTTATAGAAGCTTAGAATTGTCTAAATCAAATACATTTATCTCTCTCTGTTTTTCCTTTGAAGGACTGCTTTTCAATTTCACTCGATACAGATTACTTCCAGTATATATTCTCAGGACTTGTACAGTTTTCCTGAGTCTAGGAATCAGAAGCAAAATGTTATTCAGTACCAGAAAACCTAATGGTAATTAATGGCTGGAGATTCCTAGATACACAGGAAACAAGAGATGCTATCTTTTTCCCAAAAGCATGGCATATTTCTGGAGCACTTACTAATAATTTAGTTATATTTTAAACTTTCATTCCCTTCTTTCCAACTTGGAACTTATACCCTAACCATGCCTTTGTGTTTTAGAATGATTGCTACTGATCATATATGCATTACATTCTAAGTGGTTTTTATGCTGAGCTCATTCTTCTGCCTTTGTATTTTAAAGGGGAGAAGCTTGATTATGTTCTCTTTTAAATAACCAACAGATTTCTTTTAAAGAAATTCCTTTTTAATTATTAACTACTGCACAAAAGTTAATAGATTCCATGCTCTGTGCTATTTCTGCACTCATCCTATGGATTTTTTTCTTCTTCTGTTCTTACTTCCCTCCCCACCCGGATCAATGTTCTTGTGTTTCCTCTGGTGCTTTTTTCTGCTTTCCTGTGCTGGCAACAGAGTGCAATTATAGTACGCTTGCTCTCTGGAGCAATACAGATAACAGGATTATTGTAAATTCCACAGCACTGCCAGACGACTAAAGCAGGAAAGAGCTGGAGAAAAAAATCTGGAGGTTTAAATTTCATACATTGATCCTGAATACATGATTGTATTGATAATACTTCTGTATTTTTTTCAGTAAAAAGCTGCATTTTTTTGTCCCTATAATACCCACTTATGATGAGATGGTGAGGAAAAATATAGGAATGACAGATATGATATCATTATTTGAATAAGCTAAGTGTCACCATAATGTAGTTAGTCAGTGTTACAGTTCTTCTGCAGTGTGGAAAAACAAGACTGCTATCTTATATACTTTATATATAGGTTATGTAAATTTGTCAAAGGAACCTGGTTTAAATAAGCATTTCCTAGGGGGTAAGCTTTGCGCATTGATTCTCTAACATGAGCAAGTGACCTTTCAGTCCTGCAATAAATGATTTTGTTGAGAAGGATCAGATGTAGATAATGAATTTAAGTATCCTCTAGAAACATTCAGAAATTAAAGTATATGTAACATAATGTGAAATCCTGAATGATTTCTTTTGCCTGTCTACTATTTAAAATAAAGGGGGGGGAGATGCAAGACATATAGCTCCTAAACTTTTTTTAAAGGATTTCTAGTATTGTACAAATGTAATGAAAACAAATCATGAAGATAGAATGTATCCTTCCTTATGGAAGAGAGAAAATTTTGCTTCTAATTTTACAGAAGTTCAAATATTTCACTAAGGAATTAGGAGTTTTAATTTTACAAATGTGTGTCTTGCATTTCTTAATCTCTTTTGGGTTTGGACTCTGACCTCTGATTAGCATATCTCATTTAATTATAGTTCCACCATCACTGATAATGTGATAATCAATTAATATTTATTGTATGAATGTCAGATATTCAGTATTAAATCCTCTTTCCAATTGTCTTGTCTTTTGCGTACGTGATTTTATATATTTCTTAAAATAGAGAATTCTGCATTTTTTTCTTTAGTATAGGCTAATCATATGTTTTAAATATTCTTTGTATTTTTACAATATGTCACCATAGTATCTTAATGAATTTACTGATATAACAAGTCTATGTATTTGGCCACGACAGTTAATGTGTTGCATATTCTGATAATGGTCACATCAATGCTAGAGTTGGATCCACAAAACTACAAGGGCATATGAATGTTGCATGAAGTGTTGCAACATGTTAACTTTTAGGCACTGAGGCTGCCAAGCATAGTTCGCAGGCATGTGTAAAAACCTAAGTTTCCAATACAGTGAAAGAGGATTATTAAACAAAATGAGGTTTAAAATAGCTGTCGTACCATGTGAATAAGGAGAGGGAGTGGAGTAGAGCATATCCTTGTAGGAGAATATTATTTATTTTTAATACATCATAAGCCAAAATATTCATGACCTGAAATTTTAAACACACTGTGCAATATAATGCTTGTTCTGGTAGAAAAGGTACTGTAGAAATATAAACAGTAGAATTAGTCTTTCGTATTAGCCTAGCATTAAAGTTAAGTCCTTGTTTGCTCTGGTGAAACTTGACGTAACAGGATGTACTTGTTCAGCTGATGATTACGTTATAATAGCTCAGAGTGATACAAATTATTTCTGAAGTGTGCACAACCCAAGAGTTGGAAAGCGTTTGATGGAAAAATCACTGAAATGGATACACAGTACACACTCCGTGCCAGAGAACTACTTGAAATCTACCGAAGTATTAGCATGAAGGACATCCCGAAAGATGAGAGAATAGATGTACTGTTAACACTCAGACATACAGTGAAGGTATGTTTTATTTTTCTGTTTGTTTGGTTGTCTTTCCATACCCAGAGATACAGTCACTTAATCAGGTTGACACATAAGCAGTGCTTCTCCTGGCAAACAGGTACCAGAACGATCAATCGGCAGCAAGAGAGAGAAAGCCTAGCATACCAGCTGGCATGAGAGAGTAGCTGTTACATGCCAGGTGTGTTCTAAATTCAAGTTGCGCTTCATCTGATGTGCACTGGTTTTTATTCAAGTTATGTTAGAATTATAACCTCATTGTGTGTTAATATATAATAATTTCAATTTAAAGTTTAGTTTAATATGTCTTACAACTTGATAAAAGCTATGCCAGAGATTTTAATGGCGATTATAACTTTTTTTATTTTCCTCATCTCTTTGAAATGTCTCTTTAGAAATTTATGGGTTTGTTTTGTCACTGTTATAGCTGGCAAGTACTGATTCCCTTTCCCCCTACCCCAACACACACACGCGCGCTCACCTACCCGTACTGCTATTGCCAATATTCCTATGAAATAGCAGCTGGCAGCATATCTTCTAATTTTTTGTTTTCTATTCATGTACGAAAATAAGAATATAATGAGATTTTTAAAGTACTTTCAGGATTCTGCTGGCATCAAAATAAAATAGAATGCTGCTTCCTGGTCTTACTGAAACACATGAATACCTTGCTGTTGGCTTAGGCAATGCTTTGGTGGTAATTCAGTCTAAAGTTAGTTCAACGTTGGGAATGTTGCTGGTTAATGAACTTCTGCTCATCTTGATATGAGTTAATATTATTGTAGTGAGCAAATTTTGGAATTTCTGTAAATTAGGATTCTACCTTAGGTAAAGAAACATTGAACTCATTGTCATTCCCCTATCATCATCCATCTCTGGAGAATCTCTCTTTAAGCATTTGAAATTTTGATAAGTATGTTTGGGAATGAATAACTTAAGTGCCCCGTGCCTACTGTGCTGTGTTTTGGGTTTTTGTGTGTTTTGCTTTATTATTTTTAAACCACCTACTACGTATATACATTACACCTCCTATTGGATACTCAGTGGAAGCTTCTTAGGGAGATACTTCTGGAGCTACTGGAAGCTGAAAATTTTACATGTGCCCTGGGTCTCATCTCAGATGCTCAGCCTTCTTTAGTGCCTCCAGATTTCCAGTTTCTCAAACCTTTGATACAGGCTTTGACAGCCATAGTCCTGCCTCCTGAGAGCAGAATCTGTAAGCATTTTCTTTTTTTTTTTATTTTTTAAAGCTTTTTGTGTTAACTTCCAAGAAAACAACCTCCAAGAAAATTACCTGACTTGTTTTTGTTTACTCTTGGTTTTGTTTTCTTTTCTGTGGTGATTTTTCTTTTCAGAGTTTAAAAAAAAACATGAAGTAGGTCTTTTACAATGGAAGCATTAAATGATATATTTGCAGTTTGATGACTGGAAAATCATTAGCAGAATCTGGTTCCTTAGATGTTTAATATTGCTTCTCCAAGAGGAGTGGAACTGTTTAGAAAAATGTATCAGTTCTTAAAGTAATAAGATATTGTTTTTTATTAGAGTAGATAGAATAGCCACACATGAAATTTCAGTAGAAATCTAAAATTGTCCCATTTTAGACATGAAACATAATATTCCTAAGACACTAAGGGGTCGTCTTGTCTGTTTTTTTTTTTTTTTCCCTTCTGGTGTGTGTGTGTGTGAATGTACAGAAGTATGATAGATGAATGGCATAGAATCCATTGTGTTTTTTTTTTTTATCTGTGTTAGAAATTTTTTCTTTTTTTTGGTATGATTTCTTATTTATATGCTATTTCTTTTGTTTTCTCCTTTCTGTGTTTCCTTTCAGGAACATGCATGTAAATTAACACAGGAAATAGTGGAATTAATTGACAGGGAGGTTGACCTTATGTTGAGAGACGTGAAAGAATGCAACTTAGAAGGACTGAGGAAAAGAATTTGTACGTTATTTCTACAGTATATTAAAACTCCAAGCTTTAACCCTGAAGTTGCTAGAATACTTAAGGTATTGTTCCTATTATGCAGTATGACAGAGGGGCCAGCAAACTAGAGATAGAGAAGGAGAATGGGAAACAATTAATGTTTTTTAATTTTACTTCCTATAAGCTTTTAGTGTAGAATTGCAGGAGTTGTTCCTCAGAAGTAAAATGTCGAAAGAACACTGTTTTCACCCAGATAAGTACTTGTATAGGGAGCATGGGGCATAGACGTGGCTGTATAGGGAGCATGGGGCATAGACGTGGTTATAAGAACCTGAAAAATGACTGTACTCTGTGGTTGTACTAACAGAGCCCAGGTATGAAATAGCAAATTTGAGAATTAAGTGGGTAAGGCTTACAGGGCTTACAGTAAATTGCAAGAGGGAAGCCAATAGAGAGGTTTAATGAAAGTGATATAATCAAAAATACACTTTTATTGTTCTCCACTGGAAGTGGACAGTGTTCTCCATGGACAGTGTCCCATGAGTTCAGGGAGGAGGCACATTGCCATTGTCGGTGATATATAGTGAACTTGCACCTAAGCAGGTGTCGTTGTTACAAGCTTCTATTGTACAGCCCATTGCTACTTCATGAAAAGCAGATACAGGTAGGAAGTGGAGATAGTAGTGGACAACTGTTTTTTTGTGTATATGTATAGATAGATACACACACACACACACACACACACATATGTATATACACACATACACATACACACATGCATATACATATATACACACACACACATATGCATACATATATATATATAAAAATACATATTTTCCTGCTTGTCTGACTACAGACTGCATGAAAAATATGATTCACTATGGCTGCTTTAGACAGTATTATGTATTCTGCATTGATCAGCAGAAGATTCTTCCTATTGTGTTTGATGGCATCTCAGGCATAGATGCCTACTAAATGATAGTGGGATTTGGAACCAACTAACAGTTACTTTATATTACCTAGGTTTAGGTACAGTATAACCTAAATGAGTCACAACAGAGACTGGAAATGGGAGATCTTTGTCTTCTGTAGCTTTTGGTTGACTGCACTTTAAGTTCAAGACTGAATTGCATCTCTATCTGTATTTAAATCCTGTAACCATCTACAAACCAGTTGAACTGACAAAAAATTAAAGATGGCAGTTCACTGACAGAAAGCAAGGGGACACAAGCCCCAGGGCCTTTTCAGGAAAGGCAAATGACCACAATGGATGGCTGAATTGTCAGACTGTTCAAACTCACCGATAACAGACGTGGGCTCTCCTCACAGACCTCATGAAGCAAAAGGAGATTGACAAGGTTGTTAGTGGGTTTAGGTTATTACCTTCCCCTCAGTTTTTCCGACATATAGCTTTGCTGTTTTTATGTTCCTATACCAAAATATTAATATGCCCATAATCTCAGTGTTTCATCTTTGATATAAGATTCTAAACGAAAAGATACATGCTCAAAAATTAGTTTGTTTTCTCTATATTGTTATCTTTCCAAAGTGGCTGATTATCTGCATACATAAAAGTGCCAGCAACACCACTGGACCATAGTGTTTGAGGTCTTCATATAGTTCAAGAATGGACTGATTTATGTTACTGTTTTTAAGAAGTACAATAGGAAGATAGAGTAGCTTTTGATCTTCTATTTAAAAAAATCTCTTGGGTATTTTAAAATGAGTATAGCTAACTTTTAAATATTAGATGATTTGCAGAAATACACGTAAAACATATTCCTGATGCTCTTAGGATTACACACTAGTAATAGGCAGATACTCTGTGATAAACTGACCTTTTCTTTTTTTAAACCTTTTAGGTTCCACCGGATCCCTTAAAGCTTTATAAAAATGTTAACTTCTGCCGTAGCTGCAAAAATTACTTGCCGTCTACTGAGTTCTCCATTCCTGCTAATTCACGCACCATTGGCAGATGTCGTTTATGTTGTAAGATCGATAATGAGGCTCGACAGCGAGAGGCATGTTTGAAGTACAAACTTATACTAAAAAATCTCAGGGAGTCTGAAGCTGATTATCAGGATGACGCTAAAATTGTTTACTTAGTTCAGGTACTGTCTGAAAGAACGTTGCTAGTAATGAAAAGTAGTGGCTTTGGCTATAATTATTCTTTTAATTTCTGTTTGCTCTTCATAAGAAGAGAGATTGGCTAAAAGGTGCAAAAACTTCTTCCTATGATATGGGATGTTCCATACCATAAGGAAGCTCTTAAGTTTTAGAAGTATAGCTATACTTTCAAAAGTGATTACAAGTAATACAGTAAAAGAAAGTAAAAGTCTAGCTGACAGGTCAAAGAATCGGATGATAAGAATTCTTCTTTTTCTTCTACATAGCTATAATACCGTTCAAGAGAGAATGCTTTTCAAATGTTTACAGAACATTTATAAGAACTTGTTTTAGTAAAACTACTACATTGTTTTGTGTTTTCAGAAGAAAAAAAATGAAGAAGCTGAGGTTTTGACATTCCTGTTCAATGTTAGTAGAATATTTCTGTGTTTGGAGGTTCTACTGTTTTGCCTTCTTTAGGAGTGAGAGTCACTACATATTCTAATTGTCTAAGTTATTTGCAATCATCTGTATTTATCTATAATCTTATGTGGTATTACTAAGTAGCTAATGTCTCTTAATAACCATTACTGGAAAAACATCTCAGTTCAAAGAACTTCTTGCCTCTGTCTTCAGCAAATTTTCTCTTTAGTTCTCCTCAATTTATAACTAATTTTGTCAACAAAACAATTTGATAACCAATATCCACTGGGCAGGTTTTAAACGTTTAGGTAATTGCAAAGTGTTACTTAAATCTGAAATGTTGGATATTTTTATTATTTGAACTGTTTCAGAGATTTAGCAATAAAAAACTTTACAGTTAATATTCATTGCACACTTTTTGCACTGTATTGTCACTATGTGTAAAACAGCACACAAGCAAACAGCATCAAACACCAGCACCTCACTGCCACCAAAAACAGTCCATACTGCGGTTTAGCCCTTTACCACAGACAGCTGCAAACGGAATACTAGGATTCTTTAATTATCATGCGTATGTTAACAAATATTACTAAAGAACTTAAATTTTGTGAATATTGTCTGTTCATTTCAGTTTTCACTTAAGCTGAAAAGCTTTTTGTCTGTGTCTAACTCGGTTTGTTTTGATATGTAGATATCCTCCAAACTGTACTTTCATTACCAAGTTTTGAAATGTTTCCAGCTAACACCTTTTGCTGCTGACATATTTCAACTAATATATATATATATGCTGATATGTAACAACAAATGCCTTACTTCACAGAAGTGGTCACCAGTGCACTCAGGCATGGCACGCTTTTTAACTTGGCATTGAAAGTCCTCACTTTGGCAGTTCCGCTTGCAGTTGTACTACTGCAATGTCTCTAGATATTATGTATCATTTTCATCCAAGTTGACTTCAGGTTCTTTTTTTTTTTAATTATAAATATCTAAACAACAGAGGATCTTAGTCTGTTTTTTTGTATCTTAGGTTAAAAAAAGTTTTCTTGAACTATTACATTTTCTGACCTACTGCTTTTTTTTTTTTCTTCCCCTCCCACCAACCGTTTGTCCTCCGCTTCACTTATATACAGAAAACAGCTCTGAGGTATCTAGAAATACCTCAGGTACAACTGAAAAGTCTTTTTTAACAGTTATGATAGTTGCATTTGTTATCCAATGCGGTACTGTAGCTTTGACTGTATAGTCTGTGGACAGATGCAAGTTTACATTTTTGTGGTAAGAATTTTAAGAGCTCTTTCTTCGGATCTTTTGCACATTGATTCTAACTGTGCTGAGGTTGAACACCTACTTGAGTGCTAATAAGGCTGAAGAGGCAAAAAAGCAGTTGGTATACCTAATGGTGGCTCCACTAAATTCAGCTTACTGCAGCAAAAGGCATGCCCTTTGGTATTAAAACAAATTAGTTCAGCAAATCTGTCAAGATAAGTCCTGAGGCTGCCTTTTTTTTTTTTTTTTACTTCAGAGGGTTCCTCTGTGTTGTGCTTCTTGGAATCAATGCAACACACTGCGGCTTTGATTTGCTTGGTGAACAAATCCTGATGGGACTTTGGTATTTATTCAAAGTTATGAATATGTATAAATCCTCTAGCCCATTCCTTGCCTGCCATCATTTCCCAATCTCAGCTGCAGAGCATTCAATGACACTTAACTCCCAATCCATCAGATGACAGTGCTTGAAAGTTGTTTCCGTCTTTTGTGTTTGTCCCAGGACAAACTATCTGAGAAGAGGCAAAGCATCTTTTGAAATGAATAAACTGTAAAATTTCACAGTGAAGTGCATGCTCACCTTTGGAAAGTACAGAAGAGATCTCCTAGTTCAAACTTTCCACCCTAACCAGAAAAGTTTTATGATAATTTTACCAAAGTTAAATTTTATTTCATACAAAAAGAACCTGTAATCCATGAGAAAGGAAGAGTCAAATTATTGATCTATTTTACAGGGCCCTTATACCCTGAAGTGAATGGGGCTAACATAGCTGTGAGCAACTTCTGGAAACTTTTGAGATGAGCAGCTTAGCACAAAAATGGTAGTATTTGCTAATATCTCTGGTTACAAATTTCTGGCTTCTGTGCCAGATATTCTGTGAGAAGGATGAAACATTGAAAACAGAAGCCAATTAGTGAAAGCTAATAAAGGAAGGCCTGTAAAACCAGATTTTAGAGGGGTCCTACATTCCTGGGATTAGTAGACGCAGATTTATTACCAATTGATGTTTTAAGCCCAGCACACTGAAAGTAGGAGAACAGCTTTTTTTCTTGCTTTTTTTCTCCGGCAAGGATTTAAGTGGGCTTCTGGCTTTTGGAAGCAAGATGGGTGAGAATACATGAGGTTATGTTTCATCAAAAGCATTTTGTTAGCCTACCTTCATTCATCCTTCGTCAAGAATTCACTGTGTAACAAGTAAATACCATTATTTAATTAAATCATAAGTTAAGATTTCTTTTTAGAAGAATGAGCCTACTTCAGATGGCTAGCTTGGAGGAAAACCTATGTAGAAGTCTGTTGTTGCAGAGACTCTGATTGATAGATAAAATCCTCTAATAATTTTTCCATGACTAATACAGAGAAGAATTAATGGAGAGCGACAGAAAAGCTTGCCAAATTTCAGTGGTAACTCATGACCTAAAATATTTTTTTCCATTCAAGAGGCTGTTTTTTATTGAGAATTGGTAATGATTTCAGATGGGTAGTGGTAAATTACACAAATTAAGATTATTGTAGATTAACCTTAAACATGTGGAAAATACATTTAAAGGCCTTTCTGCACTAGAGAACCTTTACAAACAGACCTTCCACTATTTTTTGTTTATTTGTTTATCTTGTATCATAGCTATTTGATGTTGTAACTTAATTTGGTAAAATGCATAAAAGTATCATATGCACAATAAACTCTTTGTAGGCGGAGGGAGAGGAAGGAAGCAAAGCAGACAGTGATTTAGGGTCTGTTACAGGTCAGGGTTTTTGTTGTCCTAATTTCCCATGTTTTCCAGACCAAATTATTCTGACTACATGTAAACATCAAGTAATTTAGCACATAGTAATAACTCATTCATTGAATAACATGAAAATGAATGTGTAAGTGTCGCACCACACTAGAGGAAAATGTGCTACATATCTAGATGTTCTTTAACGAAGTGATTATATGATATATGCATAGAACAATTTTTTTAACTCAAAGCTTTTTTTGATGCTTACATGGTTACAAGACTTTCCTGTAGGATTAAACATGCTTCTTTTTCAACACTGTTTTCAATTTCAGCAACAAGACCTGCAATACTTGATTGAGAATATATGGGGTTGTCAGTCAGCTCTTAGTGCCTGTGATGACCTCTATGATTTGGTTATGGTCAGATGGGATAAGCACCATGAGTGGTCTCCATGGAACACTATTCTCCTCACTAAAGATGAGGCAGATGCACATCTTAAACTGTGCAGCCTTCAGGAGGTAAAATTTTATTTTTTTAATTTTTTTTTCTAATATTTATATTTTAAGTGAATCCTGTGACTAATGATATTTGTCCAGATTACAGCTTCCTTACGCTCATCCCTATTTAGACTGGCCTACTGTGACTATTGAAAGATTGCATCTGCACTGTTAAATAAAACAGACACTAATCCAGAGGGCAGCTGGCACAGTACAACTCAGATCTATGTTCCTAAACTCTGTCTTGTCCTGATTCTTTCTCCCAAAATGCAAAAAGCTAGGTGGCCTCATCCATGCTGCTGCTTACTGAGGACAGTCCTACACCTATGCTGTTCACTCAGCTGTTCTCAGAAGTAGATGCCCTGGATGAAAAACACACCAAGGATTAGCCATAAATAATTTGACAGTTGTATGCCTGTGATCTTGCATGTATTCTGTCCTCATTTCATTTACTAGTATCAATTTAGCATTAAATAATAGAGTGGTTATATATAGCTCTTTGTCTAGAGCTTAAGCATTTCTTATTATAAAATTATATAAATTAATATTACATACATTATTATATAAATTATTATTATTATAAAATGTCATTATATAAATTGTAAATTTGTCTAAATTTACTTTCTTACAGGGATGTCATTTAAGTGAAGGTGTAATCTTATAATTTGTAATTAGACAGTAAAAACATGAGTGCTGTTCTGAGCTGGAATAACTTAAGAGTTTGTTAAGGAAGTTCTCTATCTAGACACGGTAGTCCAGTAGACATCATGTGGCAGAATTTTAAGGCACAAGCGAATCCTGTGAACTGCATTTGTGCTGCAATTAGTAATGGATTACTAAGTCTTTCTCCTCTAGGTTACTGATTTATACAAGTAGTGATCCAAGGTCATTGTTGTGTAGTGTCCTTTTGTTCAGGGTGTTCTTCGACTTCTAACAGAATATTATTACAAATGCAATTTCTGTTGTCACTAATTGCCCATCTTTTTGGAAATCTTGAGAAAATATGTGAGAACTAAACAGACAGAGAAAATGAATTATTCTGTCAATGAAAGGTTCACTTTGGGGACAAAAGAAATTAGTCACAGAAATCTAAAAATAAATGGAATTCTGGCATCCGTGATATATTTTCTGTGTGCACCTAAAGTGTGTTTTCAAGCAGACACCTACTGTGCTTATGTGACTATTATCTTCTAAAAGGTAAAACCTATTTCAAGCTGGAAATTCCTTTATTAACTCCTCACCCTCACTTTCAGTCAACAAAGCTCTTCAGGCAATGTGAATCTAGTGACACGTCTGTGCATCCACACATTTATGTTACTGGTATTGTGGTGGGAAGAACTTCTTTGGCTGTCAAAGGGTCTGGTTATGCACTTATCTGGCTTAGCTTAATAACTTCAGATGTCAAAGACATGCCATTAACTTGATTAGGTCCAGAGTTTACACTTCTGTTTTTAATATGAATGATAGCTTCTAGTAAAATGTTTTTCATCATTTTTACTTAACTGCAATAGAAATATTTTCTGATTAGATTTAAACTTTTTCCATCATTGCATTCTTCCCAAATAATGAAACTTAAACTACATAAGGAGAAGTGTGAATTTTTCAACTCTTTTACATTATCCAAGTACAATGTAAAGCAAAATGTGAACAAACTTCATCTATGAAGACAACTAAAAATCTTGAATTTCATATGCTAAAATATTACAGATTTATGCTTTTTACTTAAAATATATTTTATGCTGGTATACTCTCTGTATCTCATTATACACAGTCTCCAAAAGAACAATTAATTTTCCTATTCCTAATATTTTCTTTCAAAATCTGAAATTACAATTTCTGAAGTATTCAGCTTTTTACAATAGGTTCTGTATGATTGGCAGGGAGGAGGGTCAAAGGTTAATAGCAGAAGACCTCTGCATTTCCTGCTTCAGTACTTTTGGTATACTTCAGTGGAGATGAAAGGCCAGAAAAGCAACAGATAAGCTATGCAAACCTACTTGAAAACGCCAAGTCATTTTTGCTTACTTCTTTCTGCAAAAAAATAGGCCACGTATAGTAAATGAATCACCTCCCTTCGCCTGGTAATGATCAAAACTTGGTTTAAAGAAATGAGTATCAAATAAGCAGAAATGAGACAGAATTAAAATGCAGTGCTGTAAGTTTGATCGTTACCTTTAATTTATTGAAATTAAAAAAAAAGACCTCTTAACTGTTTTCTTAAATAGTGATTCTTACAGTGATTCTAATGATTACAATAGAAATAGCAAAGGGTTTTTTCAACTAAATGTTCTGTTTATTTATAAGGTAGTCTGAGTTAAGACTAATAACTAGAAATTGAGGAAATTACATCACTGCTGAAAGCATAGGCTAACTGAAATGCTGGAAAGTGCTTGCTGCTGCCGTTATTTATAAATAATCAATCGATTATTATCAAGGAAATTTCCTGATTCATTGCCTTACAAATGCTGTTATTTAAGCATTGTCATTTTATTTTTAAAGGTAAGTAAAAATGATCTTATATGAAGAGAAGTAAACGAGTCTTATCTTGAACGAGTGAAAAAATACCAGATATTTTTGTTTTTATAAGGTGGTTAATATTTCACAAGGAGTGGTCAGTAGTTTCTAGTATTGGGCCGTAAGATAGCAGTATAGATCTACTAAATATTTTATTTTCTTATGTAGCTTTTATGAATGAATTATATGGCATAATTCATTACATGGTCACTATTTATACTGTCTAAAGTATAAAGCAACATATAGACTGGTAGCTATTTCAATTGTATTTAATACAATTTGCATTTTATTTCCTTTCAGGCTTATGAAGCAGCATTTATTCACAGAATAAACCATAAGCATATCCGGGCAAAAAAACACTTTGCTCAGATTCCAGTGATGGCATCATTTTTGCATAGGAGTGGTGATCAGGCCAATGCAAATGAATTTTTAATAGCTAAGCCTATTCCTACTGGTATAAAAGCATAACTGTTAAAATAAGTTGACTGAAGTTAAAGTTAACTGTATTATTGATTAATACAATTTCCCTAATGGTTTTAAATAAATGTCCTTTTTCACCAATATGATTTGTTTACATAGATAAAAATAAACTGCTGAGGATAAAATAGTGTGATTCTGACCATTCAATATAAGTGCATTTCATGTTTCATAACCTCCTTATTAAAAGTAAAATATTGTTGATGAGCTTTTTAAATTCCAAATAATTTTTAGAGCAGTGACTGTCTTTCTGTGTGTGCCTGTGTTGCTTGGACCATTTTGTCTGCAGTATCAATACCCCTGCTAAAGGAATTTAGCTAATTCTGTGTCATTCTTTTTTTTTTTTTCATTAGAGAAGTAATACAATATATTTTTAGTTCATTTTGCTGTTTTCAAGCCTATAAAGCCAAAAAATCGTCAAACCCTAAATTCTTAAGGAACAATAGAACTGATATGCCCTTCCAAATATAGGTGCCTTGCCTTGCAAACATTTGTGCAAAAGAATAACTTTACCTTTTTTGCCAATTCAGTTGGTCATAATGGAACTGCCAGCATGTGATTATTGTATCTAAGACCTTGAAATTACTGTAAATAAGGGTCATTATTTGAAATACATAAAACAGACTGTTTGGAACTTGTTAATGTCTTGAAGAGCTTGTGTCATTACAGCAGAAATCATGTTTGGTTATGTTTATGTTTGATTACAGAGAAAAATATTATATGATATACATTCAATAAAGTCCTACAGAAAGTTGCAAAGTTTTGTCGACTGCTTGAAACTTCCATTCTAGACACTTATTTGACCCAGGGCAAAACCTTTTTCTCTGAGAAATATAACTGTCTAGGAAAAAGCAGTGGCCTTTAAAAAGATAAAGAAACACATTTAGCAGCAAACAGCCAGGAACTGTATTGGATCCCTCAGCAGCCTAGGAACCATAGACCCGGTATCGAACAATGCATGCTAATTTGAGTTGAAGACTTTTCATTGTCTGTAATGGAATTCAGCTCCTGGATTTTAGTTCAATACATGCAGAACTTCATGAGCAATCCAGTTGACTTTATGTGTTTCCCAGGATTTGAGCCTTAAGGTAGGAGTGGCTGCTGAGTTTCTGCCAAAGTAATAAAAGGATGTTTGAAAAAAAGTATAAGTTGAAGGGGAAACAGGAAAGCATGAATCATGTAGGTAATGGCCTACTTCTTTATACTTGTCATTTTTTTTATCAAATGGCTGTTTGAAAAAAAAATACATTACAGCCCCTGAGGGATGATTTTAGTAAACAGTAAGAACAGAGTTGAAGCAAATGTGAAAAGCTTCTAGTCCGTTGATTTCAATGTCATGTGCAGTTGGAGAATCTTGTAATTCATAGAATCATAAAGTAATTCAGGTCAGAAGGGATCACAGGAGTCCAAACACCAGCTCAAACCATGATAAACTATGACCTCAAACCAAATTGCTCAAGGTTTTTCTCATTCAGGTCTTGAAAACCTTTAAGGATAGAGACTGCATAACCTCTTGGGGAAACTCGTTCCAGTGCTTGACTGTCTTCATCTTGAAAATATTTTTTATTATATCCAATAGAAAGCTCCTTTCTTTCAAGGTAGTCTGTTAGCTGTCATCCTCTCACCATGCACCACTGCAAGGAACCTGGCTCCATCTTCTCAATAATTTCCTCATGTGTGTTGGAAGGCTGCTGTCAGCCCCCCAGCCTTCTTTTTGCAAGGTTGAACAAGCCCAGTTTCCTCAGCCTCCCTTCAAATGTCAAGTGCTCCAGACACCTGATCATCTCAATGGCCCTCTGCTGAACTTGCCCCAGTTAATCAAAGTCTTTCTTGTTTTGAGTGGCCCCAGATTGGACCCTATATTTTAGAATAGTGCATGAAGAATTCCATATTCTAGATTCTCTTCAGTATTTGCAAGAAAATCCTGCAAGAAAATAGGTAACCTGCAAAATCTTTTGGTTTACATGGAAGTCCAGAAGACAGTCTTGACAATGACAGTGCTGTTTAATCATAATAAGAAAGCTCTCTGTATAAATAGTTAAAAATTTGTGTTACACTTAAAGTGCATGAAATACTTGACTATTATCTGGGGCATGACTGTCTGGTGATTTTGAATTTTAAGGGAAGAAGATAAGTGACTGCCTGTGTATAAACTCAAAACTGATGCCTTCTTTCAAACTGGTGTCCAGAAATGGCTTTTGAAAGAACAGGAATTGAATGTTTCGAAGAACATGATACCTCAAAAGAGAATTGATGAAAAATGGAAAAAGAATTATATTTTGGATATGTAATTGAATCCTTTTGTTAGGTCAAAGCTAAGTATAGCCATCATAATTCAAAAATAGGGTAAGATTTTTTTTTTAATCTAGCATGAAATTAGTATACAGCCCTTCATGTTAGTTTTCTTTTATTGCTACTTTGATCATCTTGTAGATTTTTTCTATACTGTTACTGAATTAAAAAAAAAATTCACCATTTTTTGCCCCTAATATTTATAGTTGTACTGTGTTTTGTAAAGGATTTTAATTAAAACTTTTGTTTAATAGTTGTCACTGTGTTGCTTTAACTGTGTATGTAGCTTATAAATGATATGGAAAAGGTACTGAACAAGTAAGAAGAATGAAAGAGTTCTCTGTATCACAGTGGCAAATACTGGAAAAGCTGACTGAAAAGATCAGAGCCAGATTAAAGATCCTGTATTTCTAGGAGAAAGATCTTGCAAATCAGTGTGTATTTGTATAATACAAATATATGCTTAATAATATTCATATTATACAAACATGCATATAACTTAGATCTAGCTTAATATTCAAAAAATTCTGCTTTATTTGAAACCTGACTGCTTTTAGCAGTTATTCACAACGAAAATTTCATCTGTGTGAAGGAGAATTGTGCTGTATTTGCAGACCAGTAACAAAAGTTCCAGTCAGTAGCACAGATGTTGAAAGCTACTTCATAGTTTTTCCTGTTCTACTGTCATATATCTTTATTTCAAAGATCTTTGTAGATTAGCTCCACATACCTTGACATCCTAGTTACCTGATACTTGACTCCGTAAGATCTGAAAAGCACATTTATCTTATTCAAGCTTTGTGCACTGGTGTGAGCACTGGGTTTGTGAAATTACTGCTATTCTTGCCAGTACTCACAGAAATTAAAATATTAGTTTGAGAGTAGGGGACCGACATTTTCCCTGTTGAGATCTAAACTTCCTGAGCACTTTCTGTTTTCTAGGGGCTTAAAAGGTCACTGAACTTACCGCTATCCCTCCTTGGGGGTAAAGTTCAGCTGCTGTGCAGCTAGCCACCTTTCTCCAAACAGGATGAGTGCAGTTCACTCTTCTCAGCATCACTGTCTTGAGTTACCGCTTATGCAATGTGAAGTACTGAAAGCAGTTCGTTAGTTAAGAAGCCTTAAAAATGTGGAAAATATGTTACAAAATAAAGAGGACTCCCATTCCCAAGGACATGAAGAATTAGTCTGGAGTGAGATGAAATGGAAAGTAGCATAAAAAAGAGGAAGAGGACAATAATTTTCAGTTGTTTAGATTCTGTTCCCTGTAAAACCAGTACACATTTTGAAGCTAACATAACTTGTTTCATCATTTGCAAAATTATTTTTCAGAATATCAGCTTTTCCAAAGAGGTGAACAGAACTATGAGGAAACAGGGTAGGATAGTTTTAGAAATGGAACATGGAGGGAAATGCGAATGAAGGCAGAGGCAAATTTGGAAGAAGGCTATACGGCACTGTGTCAAAATATTTAGCTGAGCAAGACAGACTTAAGAAAAAGGGAAGTGGGAGCCAAAGTATTAAAAGGATATAATATTAAAAAAGGAGCTACACTCCTCCTGAACTATAATCTGGTCTCTCACAGTCTTACTGTGATCTTGAGAAAGTCTCTCCCTTTCTGCACCTGGCTTTCTCCTTTTTTAAGTATGCAATGATAGTTCGTTAGCCTAAGTCAATGTACATGTAGGCAAAGCAGTACAGTATTCCTAGCAACACTGCTGGAATTCTTTGGTTTAAATGATTTGAGGTGTCAAGAGAGGAAATATAAAAGGAACGTTCATTATTTTTAAAGAAAACTTCAAATGATTGCCTAGTTTGAAATACAGGTCTTCAGTTTATAATCTGCAGGACCTCATTCTATATATGATATCATATCTCTTTGGGTAAGACTTATACCACAGTCAGTGAATACCATAATACAACTCTTTAAGGTCAGACCATCTCTTGCAAACAGTGGCTTTTCTTTGATAACTTTAAGACTCGTGAGAAAGGAGCCTGATTTTCAATTAATACATAATAAAAATATATACTTACTTAAAATAAACCAAATTTTCAGTAGAAACATGACCATAAATAATCATTATCCTTAGTGTTTCCAAGTCTTTTAGGTTCTAAGCGTTCCCTGGAATTAGCTATAGCTGTAGCAGTGACAGAGCATTTTTCAAGGTATTTGACCTCCATAATTTCGAATACTTTTAGCTGGTAGACCAAGATCTAAGACACATGCAGTACCTTTTTGTGTGTTTTGTGATTCAAAAAGGATTTTTTTCTGTACATAAGCTCTGTGACTACAATAGCAAAAAGGATGATTAAGAGTTTCAGTAGTCTATAGTGTAATGTTGTTTGACTGTCTTGCAACGTTCTCAATGTCTTACACCATGACACTAGGGAGAGCAAAACAGTTTTCTTGCTTCTACGCTAGTATCTTTAAAGCCTTGGCAGATTTACTTTCAATTGTTATTGCATATTATTAGGGAAATATGCTCCATTAGAGGATCAGCTCTTCTTGCATCTTTGACAGCTGGGTAAATTCTTTAAATGCACAGCTGCTTATCTTTGTTTGGATTTCAGAGCATTATTCACAAGCTGGCTGTGGAATCTATTGGTAACAAAAACTGTGCTTTGGAGCCTAGATCATTCCTGGATGATGAGATCAAATGACTGCAAACTGTCATTGCCTCTACAGAGAAGAACAAACTGTAAGTTGAATTTTTGACCTTCTCTTCTCACTTCAGAGAAGTGGCTAAAGTGATAGGCGTATGAAGTCTCTTAAATCCTAGCTTAAATGTTGAGTCCATGAGGAGTCCACACTCCAGAAATATTTTTTACCCCTAGATACTGTCTAACAAGAAAAGGGTGTCAGAGTTCGCATGGCTTTTATTTCTTCTGCACTAGCAGACACATGGCCAATTATCACCTGCAGCTTACCTCATGGATTATTTCATGAGCAGGAATCTTCAAGCACAAAGCAAAATTTGTCTTCCACCTACCTCCAATACCACTGTTAAGCCATTTCCAGAGGGAAAAGCTCCATCTTTCCTCCCACAAGCTCAAGTGGATCATATGTTAATTTAACAAAGAAGATCATGCATTTTGCCTCCCCTCTCCCAATAGTAGCCTCTGCACTTTTTCCAGGTTGTAAATTCCCCTATTTATGTCTCAAAGGGAGAGAAACTCAGAGTAATCAGTCTCTGCACCTCCAAAAAGTGATGTCCTCAACAGATGTCCCAATTAGCAGCACATTAACTCAATTCTTATATCAAGAGGTGATTGTAAACACTGATAAAAGAGGATTACAGATTAGATAATGTAAGGGGAGCAAACTAATTGCCAACATTTAGCACTTGGAAAACACTTCTTCAAAAGGAAATAATACTAGCAATAGCTGAGTCTTGGATTCATTTAATTATTTTTGTTTATTTTCTTGTAAAAGGATCCTAAATTGGAATAAGTCTATTACCTGAGCTGGGGGTAAGGTTCTTTGATATGCTGCAGTAGCACTGTGCAGCTCCTAAACCTATGGCTACATTTGCATGCAAAATCGGTGTCACATATTTCTTTCACTTGCCTGTAGATGATTCTTTTGGCTTATCTCACGCTGTAAATTGTCCTTGTTACAAGAGCTGTCCCTTTTAGCCTGGCTTACAGTCCTAAATTTACCTTCCTCCCACACAAATCTGGCATTCACGCTTTTTTAAAATTCAGAATTTTTTACATCAGGAATGAAGAATTATGAAGCTAAGAGGATTTTTTTCCTTTTTTTAAAGAAAAGGATTTGAAAGTGAAAGAATTTAAGCCTTTATCATTTCAGTCTTTCCTCCCTGCTATTTCTTACGAGTCTCATATTTCAACTTTGACAAGATGAGAATTATGTGGGATATGTGTTGTGCAAAGGATTGTAAAGAAAGCATGCATAAGTTCAGAGAAATTTGTAGGAATAGAATGTAAATATGGGGTATGTCAATATTATAGTCTCACTCAATAAAATTATTTTAACTAAGTAGAGATTTAGTGATGGAAATATTTCTTTTTTCTTCATTGTGGTTCTGTAATGACTTTACAGTAGTTTGATTTTCAGATTTTGAATTAGTGCCGCATTTAAAAAAAATAATCTTCATGTTCAAGCAGTGCTTGTGTCTTGGCAGTGTTGATTATATTTACCAACTGTATTACTAAGTGGAGGAAACCCTCTAGAACCTACTCTCGATTGGATCATATTAGGAGAATAATAAGATATGCTTCTTTCATGTTCTGTTTCCAAGAAAGAATATTTGCATCATGCTAGCTAAAGTGTCTATAAAGTCACAACCCAAGATGGCATGAGTTTAGTGGGCTACAAGACAGTGTAGCAGCAGTAACGTACTATTTCTTTAGGCTGGCAACTGCAATGCAGTTCCAGCACATATTGCAAAATTGAAAGCTCTGCTGAAAATTCTGGTGATTCCTTCAGTATTCTGTGGAAAATCACGTGGTACATTCTTGGTTTGTATAACGCTGACCTTCAACTTGTCTTGTTTTTTTTTTATGAAGAGTAATTGTAAGCAGTAGGCGGGAAGAGTTATAGTCTACTTTGTGGACAGAAAGTGCACACAAAAACTGTTAAGAGTATTCTAGATGGTCACGTGAGAAACCAGATCTCTCATGTTCTGGGATATGACCACGGAGAAGTCAGCCCATTTCTAGACCTAACAAAGTACTTTGCTTGCACTGACCAATTTATTCCAATTTATACTAAATTCTCCTTAGGGCATTCCAGTTCTACCCTCTGTCCCTTATGCTCGGGGCTGGAGTTTAATCTGTATGCTCCCTTAAACAAATAAACAGTTACTTGAGAAAAGGGAGATGGAACATTGTAAAATATCTCTGAGAAGAAGAGGGAAAAGTGCAATTAAAGGGTTAATTTTAGTGTTACCTAGTGGTAACAGGGAGACAAAAAGGCTCATGTAGGAGGTTGGCTTTATTACTTCCTTCAAATTTATTACCTTTACTTAGTCTCAGAAATCTGATTTCAAATTGGAATGCTGAAATAATTGTCCTATATTAGACAACAGAGGTGTAACAATATATTGTGAATTAAGACAAATGAACTTCATGAATCAAGTTACTTGGGCTCAGATTCAGAAGTGAATACACATCGTGCTCTGATTTCTGTTTACATCTTCTCTTACAGCGTCTATTGTGCTTCCTTATTGCTCACTTGTCACAGCTTATTATAACATAGCTAACAATTTCTTTTATGTGTTGACCTTATATCTTGTTCTGATTATAAAGAAGCTTTCCTGCCCCGTGCTGAACATGACCCAGTGTAGTCACATGACACAGAAGCAGCCCTGCGCTTGACAGGGATAAAAACATATATGCCAGAGGAATTTATTTCCCAGTATGAAGAAATTCTGTAGGACTATTTTGATCTTGCGTAAGACTTGTGAAGTACTGAAGTCATGTCAGGTTCTGAGGTGATTATCATTTGCTCCTGACTTTTGATGTTTTTGATTCTTGGGTCAGTGTCTCTCCATGAAAAAGGTAGTTGCACAACTTCATGTTGTGAGAGTGTGATACCCCCCACCTTGCTAAAGTAAAGGAGGTTGACATGTTATCTGTTGAATTGTCCTTCGTATGACCCTGTTTGATAAATTTGCCCCAGCTGAGTTTCCTGCCGACAGAGCCCCCGTGAAAAGCTTCTAAATGGAGGCGTCCACTGGACCAAGAGCCGGAGGAACGCCCTTCCATCAAGAGCGAAAGGCAAGACGAGGGCAGCACCTTCCAGCAGCTTTGAGAACTGTGACCTTGTGTAGCAGATGACCACACCCCCAGTCACACTAGGTTATATAAGGAAACCTAAGCCCTTTCCTCCTCGGAGCGCTGTGTGTTTGAGGAATGCCTTGAGCTAGGAGAAGCGAACAGAGTTGAGGAGCGCAGCGTAGTAGGAGGAACGCCTGGAAGTGGTCCATGCTCCCCTTCGGCCTGAGACGCTGGGCTGGAGCACGTGGCAGCCTCTGAGAAGCAGAGTATCGGGGCGACCTACAGCTTTCTGTGAGTGAGTGGACGAGGCATCCCACACTGTGGATTGGGTCATACATGGGGCAGTGGGGTTCTTTCTCTCCCCCCTCCCCATTGTTCCTTTATAGAGCTCGTTGTCATTATGTCGCATTCTTCCCAGGTTACTCTTTAAGGATAAGAATAACAGGAATAAGAGTCCATCATTCTGCTTTACTGTGAACTTGTTAGTGCACTTATCATCTTACCATCTTGGCATCTTATAAGGACTTACCACTGTGGTTGTTACATTGCTGTCATACATATATCTCTATGTAGTTACCACAGATGGTTACTTACCTTTGCTTCTTGTTCTCCCTTATTAAATTGTTAACTGCAGTTGCTTAATTGCTTGTTATTATACTGTTAATTGTTTATATTTGTTATAAGATAGAAGGTAGTAGAGTATAGCTACAATAATTAAGTGTTCTGATTATTTTGTGAATGTTTACTGCCAGCAAACCCCACTTGAAAGACAACCAGAAGAAGCTGAAAGGCGGGCAGGGGTCAGTTTAATAAAAGAGTTAAAAGATACCATCGCGGGGTTTTGCTTTGAGTGCCGCCTCTATGTGCTGTAGTGGATACATTCCAAACTTAGCATTTTCTCACTCTTTCTTTCTTGCTAGAAGCTGCAGCGGATAGACTTACTGCAGATTTCAAACCTGCCAACACCCAAATGTGCGACATCAGCTCTCAATACATGCAAAAGAGCTGAGCTGAGGGACGTGATAATATATAGCAGGGGAAGTTATGCACAAAATATTTTGTACAAATCAGAAAACTTTTCTGTAAACTCCATTTTGAAGTTGAGCAATTCTTTTATCAGACTGTGGATATCAAGGTGTTAGAAAACAGCAGGACAGGTATTTGAACTTCACAAATCTCCCACGTACTGGAATATTATTTTTTCAGAGCAGTATCTGTGCTTGTGCTGCAGTCAGTTTTATGGACCACTTAACTCTGAATTAAGGAATTCCATGTTTTGAAAATGTACACTGTTGTTGTAGAGCAGCCTCACCCAGCAGCCTGGCTGGATCCAGATTGCGTCAATTGAACTGGAAAATGCAGCTTGTTTCAACATATGCTCATACTTTTCTTTGTAGCTAGCCAGTTACATACTAACTTGACTGAAATCATGGCACAATTCTACTCTGCTGCATTAGTCCAGCTGTTGTGGACCATGGTTGTGCTATTCAAAGTGACTGTGTCAGTGGAGCATGCACCTATGATGCTTTGGTCAAATTGGAGGTAAGAAATCTGATAAAAGAGTATCTCTATATAAAATTGTGCTGTGCATGTAAAATATATTGTATATAATCAGTTGTGGTAAATAAAAAATTGATAAGCTCATCTCTCATCTGTGGACAGCATACAGCCTAACTGTTGACTTTTCCGATTATAATTTAGAATTTTGGTGTTCTGAGCTGGGCAGTGAGAAGTAAATAAAAGCCATGTTCCTCAAACCGGAAGTAGATACACTTTATTCACCTTTCGGCAACCTCGATCTCCACCACCGTTAGTGATGTCATAATTGAAAGGCTATAACATAAGGTAAAAGAAGAAGGTAAAAGAAATCGGAGCTGACTGAAAACTGCGGGCAGCTCTAAACCTTACACTTCTCAACTCCAGAATTACAATTTTTCATTTTAATGTTTTTTCTGAAGTAGGTACTCTTTTAATAGAATACATTGTTGTATGATTAGCATCAGTTGTTAGAAGTGACTGAGGGGTTGCGGAGTTTTGGCAGATCGAAAGAGATACTTGAAAATCAGGGTACTTGGAACCAGAGCGTACTTACAGAACAGAACTCTGAACCTGTCTTAAAAGAGCAAGGCTGGTTTCAGCAGACATAGACCTCTTTTTCCAGCTAGAAGTTCTATTTAGGTAAAATTTAAGGGTCTTACATAATTTTTTGGGATTTCCGGAAATACAGCAGCTGAGGTAAAGCAGAATCTCCAGTTGGGATGCTGGATTTTTATAAATATAAGCAGACTGTGCAGTGCTTGCTCACAAGGCCATCTCTGCGGGGTAAACACATTGGTTTTGTCCAGTAAATTTTGCCCAAGTTTTTACTGTAGTAAGTCTATGTCAGATTTGAAAGCAGAAGTTTGTAAAGGACTTACAGGGTCACAGAACTGACTGGAAGGGCTAAAGGCAAAATGAGGATCCTGCTCTGGACGAGAAGGTAACAGCAGACCTGCTGTACCTTACGCATACCATGTATTGTTTGCCTTGCGTAAATCACTCAAATTTCTCTCCCTTATTCTTAACCTCCATATTCTTAACCTGGTTTATCTACATTGTAAACCCTCTACTGGAGACTTCTATCTCATGCTGTCTGGAAGTACATATGTATTATACTTAGTTTAACAGGTTGCCTGAGCTCAGCTGGGTATTTGTTCATGTCTGTTGTATAAATAATCCTTAACATCAACGATATTTGGAATTTGTCATCATCCAGCCAGGTGACTTAATAAGCATAAAACGCTTTCTTATACCATGAATAGCCTTGCAGCATGAGTCATCCCTCGCTTTTGCTCTAAGACTGAATAGAAGGACCTGCAATGATGGCGATTCCTGCCAGGTCTGCTTGTGCACATGACTAGTTGTGTGTTCCTGGAGAGACGGTCGTTGTGCTTCCAAACTCCTGGTCGTCATCAACTCTTGTCAGGACTGGAGTCATGAAACTTGAATCTTTTGTACCCTTATTGCTTTATTAATTCCCAGAACATTACTTATGATCTGCTCTTCTGTAAAGTGAAAAAGGAATCAAAGAAGTGATTTCTTGGGAGATAACTGTCCTTTCAGGCAGTTGCGCTGGATTCGTTATACTTTTCTTGAGTCTTTTAATCCATTCTTCAGCATGTTCAAGACATTATGAATTATCTATCTCTCATTAAGAAAAGAATTAGGCTAGACTAATTTATCCTAGTGTAAATCTTTTGTCTTTAAGGAAGATTATTAAGATTGAAGTCTGAGAATGAAATCTTGAAGCTTTTCAATCTTTTTGATACATTGTTTATATTTGCCGTTGCTTCTTAATGCAGTAATTTTAAGACAGGAATAGGAGAATTCAGAAATTGTATGAGCATTAAGAGTTAGACTGAATAAGCTCTTCAGCAAATCCTTCTCCATGTAAAGTGCCATCTAGAGAAGCACGATACTTTTACGTTTTTTCGTATGTGAGCCCTTAATCTTGAGGACCATGGAGAAACTGCATTTGAAAGCAGATGTGCATGATTTTAAATGTGTTTCTTGCAAACGTATTCTGGAAATTGTATTCTTTCCCCATTGGCAATTAGTACCACCTTTGACATGTCTTCTTATCTCTTAAGAATTTTTAGAAAATGAACCTCTGTTGATGGGGAGCCATAACGTATACGAACCCACAAATACTGCCTTTTGGACAAAGTTAGATTAGCTGACCTTTTTCCTCCTGAAAGAAGCAAATGTTTCAACACCAAGGGCTTTTTTTATGTTCAGAATGCTTAATGTGTTCACCTTTAAATAACATGGAAAACTGAAGGACTTCTAAACTTCTGTGTTTAAAAGGAAGTAAATGTTGGAGAGAATTGTTTTTAGGATAGAAGAGTCTTAAGAAAAGATCATCTTTCCTTTGTCCTTGTTCCTAGTTTATATAAATAGTACACCTGTTGTTAATATAAGCAAAGTCTTATCAGTTAATCCAGGGTAGTCATAAATGCAGACTTTCTGCCAGAGTACAGTTTACAACTTGCTCTACTGCAGATTGTTCAGGTTTATACAAAACTAGAGCAAGAAAAACAGGACAGTAGACTGATAAAACCAGTTTCACATTTGCATGACTAGAACGTTTTTCAGAAAGGAGTGTTCCACCTTCCATGACCTTGGAAATCTTGAAAGTTATAGTGTTGTGAGGGAGAAATTAGTTCTGCTGAAAGCCAAGGAAGTAACTGGAAAGGAGAATTACGTTATTTTATAAAATAAAGAAACAGTAACAGTAACTTCAGTTCGCATAACCCTTTACTCAATGCCTTACACGTGGTACTTTGACAGTGACGCAAGGTTCTTAGTGAGTGATCTCCAGGCTTATGAAATCTGGAAATTAATATTAAGAATTTTACGAAGGGTGGCTAAATAAGCTCAGCAATTACCAACAGATTTCTGTTCACCTTGTGGGAGTATGACTCGGTGTAAAACTTAGGATTCATAGGTCAAAAGAAGTTGAAATTCATCAATCAAGTCCATCCCCCATCCCAGATTAATTATTAGAGTATGGCTTATAATAGTTGAGAGAGAATAAATTGTGCTGTTTTTTTTAAAACTAGCCAGCATTTGTAAAGTGGTATCTCAGAAGAGCTATATTAGAAGAACTTAACACTTGGAAATCTATATTTTATGCATTATTGTGTTGTAATCATATTGTTTCAGGATAATGTTGGGTATTAGCTACAGAGGAAACCTGTAATTGACAGACATGCACGATGGGCAAAGCATAAAGCAAGTATGGTATAAATCCTTACAGTGACATTGAAAAATGAAATACCTCTTTCCTGTAGAGATATAAATGTAGATCTGTACTTCGAGGGGAAAACAGCATTTTCCACCAAACAACCACCTTTCTCTATTGAACTCAGGAGAAAGATGAGGTGGGAATAAGTCAATTGGTCATAATGTTCCACTTTTCACAAAGGAACATTAGTATATCAGGGAACGTTCTCCAAAGTAACTTTAGCCTGGAAAAGTTAGCCTTCATCTTAAATAAGCCCTAAGTAGCCTGTGATTGCTTCTGTCCTTTTGGATGTGATTCAGAGCAGGAAGTTGGTTTAACCATTTGGAATCAATATTCAGAGCAATCTATCTTTCTTACCATAGAATAGAGAGGAGGCCCAAAGGAAATACACGGATTAAAATTAGCCTTTGTGATTGCCCCCTCATGTGTCTGTTTTAGGAATACCTTTTGCTTACAGTCACTGAGAATATATCATGTAATGCTATATTCAGATTAAAGCTGATTTTGAAGTGCTGATACGAAATAGTACAGTTGCAACGTTTCCTAAAGCTGTAAGAAGTTTCCTGAAAAATCGCTAGGAAGAGATGGAACACGGAAGTGAAACAGCGAAAACAGAATTGTTTTAGCTATTACTCTGTTGGATTTCCACGGATACATTGTGCTGTCGTGCTTGAGCAGCTTTTTAAATTTTTTATCATATAGTCAGCAGTTTTCATTCTACTGCTGCTACTAGTAATGGAGACATCTGAACTTAGTGTCTGGAAATGGTGTTTAAAGGACCCTGTTTACTTCTGCTATGCAGGAGAAGCTATTTCTTACACGCTCTTCATGCCGTGACTGAAAGAGACAACTGAAAAAAATAACTTGTAGGAGAGATTCCAGAAGCCAGCTACAAAACAAGCATGTATGATCACAAGTTGAAAGATACAAAAGTCCTTAACTAACAAGCTATCCTTCCCATAGGTCCAGATACAAGAAATATTGAAATCTTTGCTTCCATCAAAAAATAACTATCCAAATACGAAATACCTAGAACTGCCCAAATACCTATAAAAAACCACAGATCAGAGAAGGTATTTTATTATCCCAACTTTGCAGACATCTATATGCTTACATTTGTTAAAATGCCAGAGCAGTTAGGGGAAAGAGAGAAGCAAAAAACAAGCTTAGCTGTCCTTCCTTCCCTTTTCACTGCATCATCTGGCTCTTGCAGGGAGAAGAGAGCAGAGAAGCTTTGAGCTTCTTCCTTTTTAGCCTGAAGGAAAGTATATACATTAGCAGAGTTCCTCATCAGTATGAGCCTCCTGCAGCTGAGGATGTTAGGCAAACACTACATTAAAACACTGAATAATTTTAACTTCTGAGTTCAGAGAGAGTCCTTCTGCTGTCTCCTATTGATCCTTACCACGTTTCAATCTACAGTTGTTTTGTTTATTTAGACAGAATGTAGGCATTGCAACAGAACACACAGGCAATATAGTGAAACAGGAGGACACATCTAGAATTATGGACTAACTAATGCAGATTTATTTTTCTAATGATAGTGCTGGAGTTATCAAAATTAAGTACTCAGAAACTGAAAAGTTTAACAAAGGGTGCTTTGCCAGTTTAGAAAGCCTGCAAGAAGTGCTTCAGGGAACAGGGGATAACTTGGAAGTAATTATACTTTAAAATGGGATCATTATATTTCTAAAATCTCTATGATGTGTGTCATTTCTGAGTTCAAGGCAAAAACCTTTGCCATTGTGCTGCAGTAAATAACTTAGCTCTATTTCATGTATTACTTCTTATTCTCCTTTATAGAAAAAAAAAACTCTCAAGATCAGCAATCTTTCTAATATTTGGCATGAAATAGATTTTACCCATCAGCTGATTCACTGAAAGAAACCTAGGAAAATATTCATTATCATTTCCCTTTACACAAGCCGTTCTCTACCATCTCTTAATTTAAACTATCTTCTTTTCCTTTAATATCATTGGTATTCTGATGTGGCCATGGAAATAAAGAAAATTCATAGTCAGTATGAAAGTTAGTTCCTGAACAGTCATTCTGAATCTTTGAGAGTTCTTCTTTTGTTTTTTAAATCCTTATTTTTGAAAATGATACTTAAATCTTCGAGATCATGGGGTTTGCCTTTCCTCAAAAGTTGAGGAATGTCTGCAGTAATATCTAAGTGGCTGGGATTCGTAAATATAATACTGATTTCCAAGGGAGTGAAGATGCTGAGCCCAATTAAGAAAATATCAAATGGTAACCTCTCTCAAAGAGGAAAAAGAACTGCCTGTAGAGCAGGGTTTACTTTTAGAGCTTGAAAAGGTGATAGGCTGAAGGTTTACCAAAATTTGATTTTAACATCTGTCCTGGAAGAGTCTCCCACATGTAGGTTTGCTCTAACCCTTACCAAAACCAAAATATATGCAGCGAGCTAGGTAAGTAATATTGCATGATTGCACTTCTCTCTCTGCTGCAGGTGTGATTGGAAGCTTTTGATTTACTCCAAGCAATCTTCATTGGAACTACGGGGAAGTCTCAAAGTGAAATAAAGGTTTTGCTTGTCTGAGAAACATCACTGAAACTTCCTACCTGTTTGTTACCCCTGCTCTGTGTCCATCTCAGGAGACTGCAAAGACCGTTTTAATTCAAAGATGCTGTGTCTGAAAGGGTCATTCTTGAAATTTATTTCAGAAAATTTAATCAGCATCTCAGCTTCACCAAATTGCAATAATATAATAGCTAATGCTACAGCAAACAGTAGTTATGTATGTTCCATTCTTTGTAATTGCAACCATTTGAATGGAATACCTGATTTCTCAGGCCTTAGTGGCTAATGTGTGCTTGTGGAAAATGGAAGATTAAGCTTCAAGCTCTGGGATTTCTACAGAATAGCAATATTACCTTAGACGTGGCACTTAGTATCAAAACTTTCACAATAAATTTCATCCAAATAGACCCATTTAACATAACATTAAAGGTGCATGATGCGTTACTCTAGCTTTTACAAAAATCCCAGTCAAGTTTTCAAAGAATAATGCCACATCTAGTTTTGCCCAGAACTGTTCTTTCTAGTAATAAAACTAAATAAATGGTTTGCTTCTCCATCAACTCCTCACAATGACAGATTGGCAAAAGAATTGTAAGCTTTCCTTGGCATCTTTTGCCATTCTGTTCAGAAGAGTTCATGCTTGTTTTTCTGTGCTGCTTCTGCAGAAAGATTGATTCAACACTTGACACCTTAGGACAGAACATTTTTTTTATAAAATATTGAAAAGCCGCTGTAGCTGAAGAAAAGGCTTATGAAAAAGAACGTACATCATGCCAGCTTGTGATCTGGCTTGAATTCTGTTGCTCTCTGACCTCCAAGATGTCTAACAGCAGTAGAAACTTTTTCAGGAGTTGAGATTCCTTTGGGAATACTCTCTGAGGGTTTTCAACGTATTCTTCTTCATTCCATTTAGTAGTTAATTTTTGAAAAGATGCCCCTGTACTATTGTACACAAATGAGAAAAGCTAATAATAGATAAACATGGTCTGGACCAATTTCATTTTTTCTGTAACACAGTTAATTTGCTTTGGACATAAGTGGACAAATTCTTTCCCCTCTTGAGTAGAATGAAAGTAAACTGAGCTGTAAACCTGATCTTAACGTAAAGATGATATCGTTATCTTCTTCTGTGAGGTTGAATGAAAGAAGAGGTGTCATCACTGACAGCAAATTTTACAGAAAAAATAATTTTCTTTGTAGATTACAGTGGAATCCAGACAGGCCTTTGCATGCAGGACACATTGTCTCAACACAGGAGCTGGCTGTACTCTTGCAACCTGTTTTTAGCCAAAATTCCAAAAACCTAGTCTTGTTTGTTCAAGATACGGTATGTGACATTAATTCCTTTTATCTTACCAGTGTTGAGTGCAAATCTGTATGTAAATGAGATGACGTGGTTCTTTCTCACCAATCTTATCTCTTTGTTTTACAGCTAAGCATAGATGATTTCACGTACTACAGCGAAGCCTATGGTAACAAGAAGCCATTTCAAAATGTTCAGGCAAGTATTCCTCTCGTCTATTTCTTTTTATGGAGTATTTGAAATTAAAAATAATGTAAGATGCAAAGACACAATAATTGGCAGGATAAAACTGAATTGCAGCAGTTTTCCTCTGTAACTTATTTGCTGAGATTATTTGGTTTAAGCAGATAGATTAAAGTAAATCAATTGAGTTTGCAGAAATATCTTTTGAAGCTTATTTTATTTCTGAAAATCAAGTTCTCAGAATTCATCTTAACTGGCAAAATTTTTTCTAAGCATGCTGCATTTTGTATTATAAAAAACAATACAAACTCCCATATTGGCAACCCAAAATACTATTTTGAAGCCACAGTAACACAAATAGTTCTGGCGTCAATTGTTTTTTCCAGATTTTCAAAATTGAAAGCCAGTTTTATTTTCATACAAAGTGAAGCTATCTTAACCCATGCAGACAGCTAACAGTTTCGTATTTGAATATGGTTAACATGTGCCTACATACTAGATTGCTTTAATCTGCATAAAAAAAAAAAAGTCATGCTACTTCAATAATTTGAAATAAACTGCAGGCACAGAAATTAAGATCGAATTCTCCTGACCCACTCAGCAACCTCAGCTTCTGTTCTTTTCCTCGTTGAGGAGGTTTATAGATTTTGGGCACAGCATCTCTGCTTATACTGATGTGACAATTTATGGAACTGTTGAAAAACAGAAGTGTTCACATGCAGAAATCATAAATGTGGTCCTGTAGGCAGCACTGGATGAGCAGAGCTATTAGTAATGTAACTGTACCAGAGCACACGAGGAAGTATAAATGTCTAAGCACCACACAACAAGCTGTATGCGTAGTTAGATACATAAATATCCACATATTACCTCTCTTTGCATCTATACTGTCTTAAGAACCTCATATCTTCCATGTATCACTAATACTGGAGAACTCTTCGTCTTTTTGCCATATTAAAATGTTTTAACACTGATGCTGGAACAAAAGGAACAATTCAGCGTGTGTAAATGGTTTGCTTTGAGGAAGGAATGGGAGTAACGTTCATATATACTGTAAGGATCAGTGGTTGCACCCACAGACAGATATATTGATATTTCTCTGCTATGCCCTTTTCTCATTTGGATTTAAAATCTATGCAAGGTTGTGTCTGGAGCAAATTTTCTTCCTGCTTCCATGACTGCAAAGTTAGTTTGATTTTATAATTGAGAAGCTGTGTGAAGTGTATGCATGACTGCTGCAAGCTCCTGGTGATAGAGTGACCTTATTTAAGTAGGCTCCTATATGCTTTAGAGGAGGGGTATTGAAGTGTTTAAAACTTCAAATCTTTTACCTTGTAACTGGGACTATACCAGCACTGTAGAGCTTATAGCTAAAGACTAGAAGTGAGTCCAGAGACTGATGGATCTAAAAATTTGGAGTGGGACACTGAATGGATCGGGGTCCTCTGGAGAGCTAGTTAAGGAGGCCTTCCGATAAAGGATCACATTTAACTAAGTCTGTGTCTGGCAGAGCAAAGATTTGATCCCGGGTTTCAACAAACAGGAATTTTATTTGCTTTTTGGTCTTGCCTCTGCTCCCACTTGAAAAACTTTTTCTGATTACAGCTTCTTCAAAACTGAAAAGTTTTCTTTTGAAAAATTGGTAACCTTAACTCCAGCATTTCCTAGTTTTGATGTATTGGACTTGGCAATCTTAATACTCTTCTAGCATAATTTTGGGGGATTGGGTGCTGTAACATAGATTAAAGGGAATGGGATGTATAAAGTAAATATTTCTTTTTCACTTAGGTGCACATATGGAGAATTTGGACAGTATCTGTATGCATAGACTCATAGCTTTTAGGGCCACAAAGGCTCTTTCTAATCATCCAATTTCATCTTCAGTGTAACAGAAGCCACAGAAATGGGCTCAGTTATTCTCGCATCATTTCCGTTCCACTTCACTTACTTTGTGAAAGAAATCCCTTCTTAATCACGGTGCGAAAGACTCTATAGTAATTTCCACAGAATACAGGACAGAGTGAAGGTCAGGTCTGAATTTTCTCACTGGAGAAATTAGAATCTTTGATGTTGCATAATCACAAATGTTTATACCTTCACACTCATAATCATTATACAAATGATTCATTAAGCTATAATAGATGTTCCATGTCACTCAAGTATCCTCCTTTTGAATTTCAGCAATGCAAATTTATTCACAGATTTAAACTGAAGATCTCATTTAGTATGTATATGTGCATGTAGCAGCATGTGTACTACAAGAAGAAAATATTATTTGCTAAAGAGTTACGGACTTGTAAACCACAGAGACGTTTGCAGATATTAGATTTGTTCAGCTACATTAGCAGCTGTTTTGAGCTTTTGGAATCAATGGCTGTGTATGCAATAAAATAATTCTATTTCCCCTGAATACAAAAAGGTCTTATAAGTAGATCATTCACCTTAAACATTCAAAGAACTTTTAAATTAAATAATAAAACACAAAGATTAGCATTTGGGTTTTTTTTTTTTCTGTCAAGCAGTCACCTATTCTGCAAACTGCTGTTCTTCAATATTAGCTTCGGCTTTCTCCAACTAATACTCAGTTCCTTAAAACTGCAATGTATGGTAATGCCCTCCAATAAGTTACTAACTAACTGTGCAGTTAAATAATTACTATTTAAGTCAGAACTTTTTGCTCGTCCTATGTGGTGTGGTTCTGCCCATCCATGTAACTTCTAATTGTAGACATTAGAGATGCATAGATATTGTATGATAACCTGGCATAATTGAATTTGCCGTTCCAGGACTAGACCTGACAAGAAAAACAATCACATCATCACACTGGTAGTAAACCATGTTCATTCCTTAATCAGCTGGCTAAACAGCGTCATATAATCTGATTTTGATAGGAAGCTGCTTAACAGGAATATGTTTTACTGATAAAATCATGTTGATATTGCCGTTTCCACATTAGAACAGTACATTGTTCAGGCTACTCATTTTGTTTGTCCATCTAAGACCACATATTTTGCTAACTTAGAATTTTCAGTATCCTGTTTTTGTTTTTCATTTTAATGATATCTGTTTTTACGGTAAAACTGAAACAGTGCAGCACTTTCCTTTGGTTCTTCTTTTCTCATTATATTCTTCAGTCAGGAAACCTACTATTGGGTAATTCTGAGAGGTAACTCCTGTGAAGTTTGCTGAAGTGGTTTAAGAAGTTTCAGCTGTCTGGTAGAAAACACCTTTCCATCTGACAGATTTTACTCCTGACAGTGTATTTGTATGACACATCTAGTCCAATGTAGAGTCATGGATAAAGCAAAGATGTATATTCATTTTGCCAGTAAACTGTGGCAAACAGGTCCTAGTGAACAAAGGTGTCTGGGTTTTTCTGAAATGCTACATGAAAAAGAAAACTCACAGGAGAAGATATTCAGGACCTCTGCATATATTGCGATAAACTTCTTCCAAATAAATATACAAGTATTTATGAGTCAAATATGGTGTTCAGTGCCTTTTTGTAAAATATCTTTGGCTAGTAAAGCAGTAAACTTGAGCAAATAAGTAATAACAACTGTGATGATATTAAGAGTGATACAACAGTAAGAACTTAAGGCCAGCCATACTGGGCCAGACCAAATGCATACTGAAGCTTCTGCCTTTAACAGTGGCCTTTAATGGATGCTTAAGGAAGAATACCAGAACACGATAAAGGTATAAATATCCAGCTTCCAATGAATTGCAGCTCAAGTATATCATGAGCCAAAGGTGCTAGTAGTGTCTTTGCATTTAATAACCCCGATAGATTGTTTTCCATGAATCTATCCTCTCACTTTTTTAACCCATTTCACATCTCAACTATGTGTTTTGTGAAGAACTTCCTCTTTTTGTTTGTTCTAAACCTGCCGTCTTCTGGGTTGTTTTGATATCTCCTGCTTCTAGTACTAGAAAATATAGTGACTGGTCTTTCCATCCTCTGCCTCTCTGTGCCATTTACGGTTTTATATTTCCATCATATCCTCAATCAGTGGTCCTTTTTTCTAGGCTGAAGAGTCTTATTTAGTCTCCTGTGATACAGAAGCCTTGATTCTCTTTGTTGCTCTTCTTTATACCTCTTTCAGTTTTATTGTACTATTTTTGAGAAATAGGGGAATACAGAACTGCGTTCTAATCCAAATATAAGTGCACCATAGATTCATTTGGTGACGTAGTGTTTTCTGTTTTGTTTTCTAACCTTTCGAGAAAAGTCCTAGCATTTGATTTACAGTTTTGACCACTAACCAGCCACTGAACTGACACTTTCAAAGAGCTGTTGCCGACTTTTAAATTTTCATTCCTGAAAATTTAAAAAATTCAGTTCTGAGTCCACTAACGTGTACATAGAATTACTGTTGCTTTACCCCTGTGCTCTGCTTAAGTCAATTTAAGTAAATATCATCAGTTACTTTGTCTCCCAAGAGGCTGGTCCAAAAGGTGCGTCTGCAATTCTTCAGTTAGCCCTTGTCTTTACTTTGTCAGATACGTATGAAATCAGAAGACTTCATCAGTTCAGTATTTATGCACTTTTGCCAGGTCATTTATGAACATATTGAGCAGAACAGACCCCAGTGCACATCTCTGTGAGATTCCACTGATGACCTTTCTCTGCTTTGATAACTGATCCTTATTTCTACCCATTCTTTGCTCTCTTTTTACCTATTTATTTCTGTGAAGATCTCCTCTCTCACACTAAAGCAGCTTAATTTCTTTCAGAATCTCTGCTAAAAGTCTCTATAAATGCCTTTTGTGAACGCAAGCACTCAGCGTCAGCTAGAGCTCCCTGGTACACGTTCCCATTTATTCTTTCAGAGAATTCCGGCAGAATTATGAGGCATAGCTTCCTTTTCCAAAAACCATGTCAGCTTTTTCCCAACATAACTCTACCTTATTGTTATATTCAGTATTTTAATCTTCAGAATAGTTTCTCCCATTCTTGAGCTTCAGGGTTACTTGTCTGTAGTTCCCCAGATCTCTCCGGAACCCTTAAAAAGAACCTGGCATCATATTTATCACCATAGAGCACAGTGGTATGGAGGCTTGTTCACTAATACTTTCCATGGCTGAAATACGTTTTATTTGCTAAAAGTGCACTAGAGCATTTTCCATTAAAATGATAGTATATATGTTTATGCATGATCTAGGGATCACAGATGCAATTTATAAGTCTATAAAATTAATAGTGATTGGAAAGTTAAAATGCAGCGGTGATAATTTCTATGCAGTTACCACTGTGTTGAAACGGATGTGCTTCCCAGTCAGTCTGAATGGATTTGTGTTTTGTAGATGACACCTAATGATCAATGTTGTGGAAAATAAATACGACCTTTTGATATTTTGAATGCTACTTTTGTAGGTAAAAGATGAAGATTTAAAAGATGTCATTTATGTGGAAGAACCTACCAACTTCAGGCATAGGTTCCAGAGCCAACAGGAGTCTTTTTCCCAACTAATATTTTTTTGGCTATAAAATTGACTGATAGTTATGATGCCAAAAATGAATTAATTCAGAACAATGACTATGCTTACATGGTCTTTTATAGGTGGATTCGTGAGTCATTAACAAAGACTCTGCATAAACCTAAACTTACTCCGTTTCAGCTTCAAATTATGCAGGTGCCATATGACTCTAGTTGACACAACATGGAAACCATACGGGGCAAATTAGCCTGAACATAGCTTTATCATAGTGCAGCTACTTGTCTTCAGGAAGACTAGAAATGCCATCTCATACTGACCTTCAAAAAAAAACCTAAACAGTGCTGTATGTAATCAAGGAATAAAGTTTATTGTAATTTCGCTCAGGAGAGGTGCTTCAGGGGACTCTCAAAAATGTACTCATCTAACTGGAGTAAGTTGCCCGTAGAAATATTACAGATTCTACTGTTTCTATAGGAAGTTCTACTGTCAGTCTGTCAGCTCAGTAGGAGAATTTCTTTCCCTCTCCTTCTCCCACCTACTGTGTGTTTTTATTTCTTTATGTTTAGCCCTTTAGTAGAATGCAAAATTAGGTGTTTCTCAGCAGTTCTGTTCATTCTTCATCCTCTTTTCAGGGTTCTAGTGCTCTGAACATGCAATTGAATTGAAATGCTAAAATATTCAAAGCGTCGTTATAGGTGTGTTGAAGACAAACGTGCAGTCACCAAATGTGTAAGAGGCACAAACAAGGGAAAAGGGATCAAGATGGCCATCTCATGTTAGGGAGCAGATATCCAGCTATGCCTTCCCTTCGAATGGAAAACAGTTGAATACCAATGGTTGAGATAGATGGCAGTGCAGGATTGATTAGGAGCACAGACACAGATTCCATTACTCAATAATGATGCATTTTATCTCTTATGCTACAATAAACGAGTAATTTGCCCAATATATATCCTTGCAGGAACTGGCTACTGCCATTCTGGCTGCTGCTAACAACAGAAGGATTAAAATGTGTAAAAAAATAATAATAATAATAATTTGCTGCTGTTCAGGATTTTAGCTCTAAATTTATTTATGCAAAACCAGAATGGAGTGTATCGTCCTTTTTTCCAGGAGGTGCTAAAAACCCTACACAAAGGCTTGTGGACCAAATTAGTGTTTTCTGCTCTGTTTTAATTTCTGCAGTAATATTTTTTATTAGTTTGGCAAATCAGACATTACTGCATACTCCTCCCTTATGAGCATCTATAGAAATGTGAAAATAACTAGCCTTTGCCTAGAATTCCCTCCTTTTGAAATCAACACTGGGAGAAAATATAAACCACAGGAAAACATGAGCAATTAGAAAGAACCAGAAAAGGTCAGAAAAATGGTAGGCAGTCAGAGAACATGCAAAAAGGAAAAAGAGTAGGAGGAGAAGAACGTTAGCAACACCACAACACTTGCACCAGTTGGAGAGAGTCTATAACAAGTTGGGTATCTGGATGTTAGCTCAAGTGACAATTTGACTGAAATGTAGAAATGCAAAAGAGAAGTTAGGAGTTTGTAAACTGGGACTCAAAAAATATCTCCAAACGTTCACATTAAATTTTGAGCACATTAATTTTGATCATTTTCAAGTCTCCATCTTGCATTTTCTTTCCCTGAATATTTCAAGTGAATTTTATTATCAAGAAAAATCGTTGGAAAGATGTTTTTCAATTATTCAGGCTTCAGTTTTTACAGAATGAGAATATTTTAATCGCTCTAGTATTTTAATCAGAAACTGAGATGTGAGAATTAGAAATAAAGTAATAGATACCATGATGCTTGATTATACGAACCAGTTGGGCCTGAATCTTACAGTTTGTATTTATTTTGAGTGGAAAGACAGAAAGTACATGAAATACATTAAGTTTGTGTTTGGAGGCTATGCAGATCCTAAAAATAGGCAGCATTCTTTAATTAAATAGTTACAAGTTAGACACTTAATCTGTACTATGAGCTGCATTGCTAGGATATATACGAAGGCAATATACTCTGTACTGCATGGAGCTGCTAGAACTTGTGCTGTCCTATACTGATCCTTTTGATGATCTTTACTTCTGAAAGTTATTCATAACCTGTTTTCCTTTCTCCCCATCATCTGCTGTACCCTCTCCACTTTGTCCTTTTTCTGCTTGAGAACTTCAACTGCCTCTCCTCTTCCACATGCATGTTGAAAGGGCAGTAAGAGTTTGATGTCACTTAGTACCTTAAGCTTACCCCCAAACAGTGCATGACTAAGAGCCATAGTAAGTGGCACTTCACTGCCCCTTTCCAGGAGCAGCCTGCACGCAGCATCATGCTGGTGTGAACTCACTTAATGTTTACCATGGTGGTGCCTCACTTTAAATACTAAATTAAACATAGAGAAAAAAAATGGTTTGTGTTTAATTACCAAGCAAGTAAATAAACTGTCCATAAATTTATTACAGGAAATTCTTCAGTCTGCTGCTTCATCTTTAGTTTTGCCCGCTGTTGACTGCAAGGCTACCAGATACCTTTTGAGCTTTCTTCAGGAGTCGGAAGATTGGAAGTTAACAAACGTAGCTAATCTTGATGTTTCTCAGCTAGAAGTGAACACTTCTAAACCAAACTTATTTGTGGTACAGCTACAACCGTTTCTCAGGTAGGAATTTGTCACAATTAAAATTGACCCAAATATATGCAAGATTCTTAAAGCTTTTTGAAAATATCAGTAATATTTAGGAAATTTAAATATCAAAATGCAAGTTTATAGGGTCAGTAACGATCTTTTTCTTATAAGTGCATTCAGTGCTTTTTTATGTCCTCCAATGAGCTTAGCAGGTATAATAGCTGAATTATGTTGAGAAAGTCAATCAGGCATTGCTCTTTTGCCTACCGCATTATAGGAGGACAAAGGGATAACTAATAAAATTAAATGGCAAAGCACTTAGAGCAGAAAAGCTGGATTGCTTTGTGCAACACATGATTAACCTGCAGAATTAATTGCCTGAAGGCATTCCAGGGGCCAAAAAACTGTCAGGATAAATAAGCAGACAAACAAATAAACAAACAAACTAGAAGATAATGTCAATAGTGAGACTAGCTTTCATCACGCTAGGAGGAGTAGGAAGGCTATAACTCTTCATGTGTCCGAGCCTATGACAATGGTTATCTAATGGAGATACAGAGAGACTGTTCCTTCAGTTGACTGTTAGTGTTTGATTGTTACTCCTTCGACATTCACAGCTCTGTAGATTGTTTGGTACAGAGCACTCTTGGATATGGGTCACTGACCTAATCTGAAATGGCAGCTACTGTTATCATTTCAGCAGAAAGCTGTGCAGTTCTTTTGCATTCATACTGAGTGCAAGTGATGGCGATGGTACATTTAGGAGATACTACACATGGATATATTGAGTCCTTCTGCCTATCTTATGCTGCTCTTCCCTCTTCCTAAACTGTTACATGGGCATTGGTACCTGTTAGGATATGGTCCACAAGTAAATAGACCTTAAGAAAATACATTTGTAGCTATCATGTCACTACATAAAATGATACCCACACTTGGTACCCATTCTGAGGAGCTCATGTACAAAGGTAAGACCAGGGAAAGCAGGGTACACCAAATGCAAGGAAGGCTGGGAAAAGGATGGCCAAAATAATATGAATAATCTGGTTTCTCTGAAGCAAAGGAAGTTTGATGTTTTTGAGGAATCAGCTGAAAAGGTGGTCCTTGTTGCTAATTCCTAACTGGATTTGCAGAAGAAAAAGCTTATAAAGAGAAAAGAGAACGGTTGAGGGACTTTATAGTCTGGCACTGGAAGTGACACCTTTATTAGTCCATATCTATGTACATTTCTGGGTAGCATTGTTCTGTTCTGTAAAAGATTTTTAGTTATATTTCTCCCACTCTCTTTGTAGTAAATTAAATGATGTTTCCACCCTGGAAGCAATTGCTGAAAATGGTAAGCGATGTGACCGAGATATTACTAACGTTTCATCAATTAAGTCTGTGTTTTTGCTTGAGCAGATTGTATTCTCTGGAGTTTCCCAGGTTATACTGTAATACTAGCACTGCTATTTAAAGGCTTTCTTTTTTCCCATCTATAGCACTTATAAACAGTCAGTTAGCCTAGTGTGTGATTCAAAATCCACTGAAAGGGATAGAGCTGTGTATCAGACCTGATTTGTAATTAGAATCCAACCATGCTTCAGTAATGGGCTTTTGTTCAGGCCCTGAGATCATCCAGGTTCAGAATGTGAACCCTCAGAGCAGCTTGGACTGCCTCTGTGGATCTTTCCTTTGCACAGCCTTAGAAACGTCAGGCTCATCTGGCGGTTCTGAGGTCTTAGTCTCACAACAGAGACCAGATGATTGAATTGACTAGGAAATGATTTTTTAATCTTTGTAGAATAATGCAAATGCCTTTGGCAGCCTTTGATTTTAGAGTTATTTATTGGTGTTCCAGGTATTACATACAGCTCATTAAGGATGAATCTCTCCATACAATCCTATAATAAACCTTTTCATAGCTAGTATCTGGCTGAAAAAGAGTTACACTGAGAGACATCTGATTTTTTTGTGGGGCTTTTGCTTACTACTCTGAATAACAGAGCATATTATAAAGTCTGCAGATTGCTGTAGTGGTAGTTTCAGTGACATACATCGTGCAGTAGTTAAGGCAGATAATTAAGCAGGGTCCATAGTGCCTATGACTGTTTCTTCCCAGAGCTCAGGGTGTAAAATCGGAACCAGACTGGAAAATCTGGGAAAAAACTTTACTTCTTGAGGTCAGTGGTGGATTCCTTTCTCTTTGTTTTACCACTACTCCAAAGTGAGTGTGCTTTTAAGGCTCAGAAGAGTAGCAGGTTCACTAAATTGCAGAGGAGTTGTTTATTTCTCCCTGCCCGTCCCCAGGAACTGTTAGATACAACATAGCCTTGGCTGCTCTAAAAGTGAGTTTCTTCTTTAATGGACATTTGTCCATTTTATCATCAGCTGCACAAACTCAAGCGTAAGTTAATGACAGAACTGTGAGATGACAGAAGAGCAGGCTACACAACTTTCTAGCGTGAACGAGCTGTTATCAGGAAAGATATGTGTGGATCCGGGAAGATGTACCACTTTGTATGGCTAAGTGCAAAATTTTGACTTGGTATTCTGAGTCTCAGCTATGCTCTAGAAAAGCAGAAATGTGGGCGGAATCCTCACCTTCTGGTACTCTCGCCAAAGCAGCCACTGAATACAGTGCTGAATAAATCCTAGAAATATCAGCAGCAGGAAGTTTTAATTCAAATTAAAGTTACTGAGCCACTGTTCCTTAAAATTATCCCACTGAATGTCTGTGCAGCTGATGGGACAGAATCCTGACAGAATCATTCCAAATGTAGTGGTAGAGAGTCCCAAACACAGCTTTCAAACCAAATACTCTGGTCTTTACCATGTCTATGTTCTATCAGCAGCGTTACCACAGTCATTTGCCAAATATTGGTATAAGGAGACCTTTCAAGGTCGGTAGTTCTTGGTATTTATTATGGAGTGACTTCTGTTCCATCCTATCTGGATAAGCAAAAAAATATATAATTTGTCACTTACCTGTAACAATGCAAATGAATTGTTAGCCCATAAATATTACTTGCAATTTTTTTTATGGTATCAACAGTAAAACCACAGAAAAACACTTGCAGACCTGTATGAGGCTTCCTAGCAGTTTACAAAGCCTTTTATGTTTGCCACTGCACATTCTTTCCTTTTTACTGTAGAAGGTTTTAAAATCTAATGTAATAAAATGTTGGAGAACTCTCTCCTGCTGTTTTACTCCCTACAGATAGCAAACCCTGTAAGATGAAACAAATGGGCCCAGATTCTGCCCCAAGGAAAAGTGCTGTTCTGAACTGTCTAGAAGCTGGAGTAAGAGCAGTTTTTTAAGCATGTTATTAACATGAGACATACTATGAAATCTAAATTGGACCTGAGAATCCTAACTTGCTCAAGCTTCAAGGGATTCAGGCTTATTTCCAGTCTCCTCCTCCCTATATCTATGGTTAGACAGGCATGGGATATTTTCCATAAAATTGTTGCTGCAAAGATTCATCTCTGCTCTCTCTTTTTGTTAATAACAAGCTTTTGGGGAAGCAGCTCCTCCCTTTATTAGCCTTCATCCAACCAGATAATACTCTTCTTTTACCTCTTTGTTCTTCTTTATGTTTCTGTTCAGTACTTTTTCTTTCTTTCTTTTGCATGAAGTAGAAATTAAGAATATCACTCAATTTTTTGCCAGTTTTCCTAAATGTTTCTCTTCTCAAGAGGCTTGCATTTTATCACATTGATCTTACCTGCTGAATCCAGCGTAGCTCAGAATCAATGGCGAAGGTGCCTACGACTCCATCTGTGTAACAAGAAGCTCTTTAGTTGCTTTTGCATATGTTCCTCTTCTCTCTCTGATTCTCAGTCTAGTCATCCTCTTTCTCTTCTCTGGTCCCATATTCTTCCCCTTCTCATGTTGCTCTTTTCTGTTTTTTCTCTCTTGATCATAGTTTATACTCTTCCTTTCTTTTGACTTTTCTTCTTCCAGATCATTTCATCTCAGTTTCTTTCTTCTACCCCTTCTCTCCATGTGTAAAATCACACAAAGAAATTGTGATAGATTAGAAATTAATAATAGCACTAATCTTGCAGTTCCCTGGTGAAATTCAAGGGTTGTGTCTCCACTAGGCGAGAAAGGTTTAATCCTTCCTTGAGGACACAGAAGCAGGGAATTATGCTAACTAGATGGGGTCATTCTGGACACACTTTTTACATTCCTAGATCTACATAGTGTTTCCTTGATTCATCGTAGTTAAAATAAAACCTACATTAGGATCACTCTAAAGTTACTCTACTGTCAAAATTACCATTTCGAGATGCCTCTTTTTCTTCTACAGAGAGGGTCCTGGATAACTAATGTTCTCATGTAGGCGTGTAATTTAGGTGCTATGAGATAAGGCAGACAAATCTAAGCCCTTTTCCTTGAAGAACTTGCAAATACTTCATGAGCAATGTGGACAATAGGGCTTGGGGGAGTTCTGGTCACAGGTGAATGAAGATCTGTATCAACCTGATGGTCATAAGTATGTTTGCAGCAGCTTCTCTGAATGAATGCATTGCCTCTAGAATGTTCTGAAAGGCAAGAGTTACAAATTTTATTTGTAACTATAGTTACACATAGCTCATTATTGAAGTGAAATGGAAATAATGTGTGATTTCAGAATACAATCAGCTGTTTCAATGAAAGGAAAAACAAACAAAACCTATGCGTTTAGCTATGTAGCAGTATTCCTTCCACAAATTTTAACTGAGGCGCCTGATAATTTTCAGCATAAGTTGCTCTCTGTGCATATAGAACATAAAATTCACGTTATGTAATTCCTTAGACCCTTATTCCCAAAATAGATACACTAGTAATGCATAAACAGTTGTTTTCTGAGCAAATCTCTGCTTCTTATAGTAGACGCTTTAAAAGATAACTTTTAAAAGTGAGCTTTACATAGCTATGATTCTTGACTAAAATGAGGAAATCAATTTAGTAAAAACCTACACAAAAAAAATACTTGCATTTGCACAAAAATTAAGAGTTTTTCTTAGTCATAATTACTGTAAGTGTAATAGGTTAAAAAGGGTAATAAAATAAGATCTGCTACTAATACATGAAAACGAAATACAGTTGTTGTAAAGTATGCCCTTGAAATCTGAGCAGTCTGTTTGTCTCGGTTATAAAATATCCACTCATTAGAATGTTTTGTGGATGAGAAGTGGAAAGACACTGATAAACTAAATGTTAGTCTGCTGGCTTATTTCTTTATCAGCCCTAATGACAACACTAATAATCATTCTTGATTCACAACTATTATGCTCCTTATCATAAGTAGATCTTAGTAGTTCTGCATAACGGTCGAAAACATTTATGAATCATAAATATTTGTCATAACTACCTGTGGTTGCAGAACTAAAAGAGAATCTTCTGTAGAGAGCTCTTTGGACCTTATTGAAAATTCTAGTAAAAGTTTGGCAAGAGAAAAGGGTTGGGAACTCAGGTATTTTCTTTAGTTCTTCTAAATATAAAAGCCAAGCTGAAACCCTTTGCTTCTGGACTTGACTTTTCCTTCATTTTCCAGAAATATTCCAACATAGTTTTACTTTGACCTCCATTGTAGTCAATAGCAAAATTTTCCATATCCAGTTGAGGGTACAGAATCAGACTTTACCTGTCTTTCCCTGTCTCTACCAATATTTTGAGTTGCTTCTCAGTGATCATTTATTCTGTGTACTTTGTAATTCACAAGCTGATACTACTTCAGCATTATTATTTATTAACTAGTCACTTGACAAACCGTGTATGCATCCTGCTCTCATCTGTTAATTGATTCTCCTGCTCCTAATTTTAATTTCCAAAAGTTCAGTCTTTCAGTTATTCTTCTACTATACTTGTTGGCTTCAAAATTACCCCTTTATCTGAACTGCTATAATGTGTTTGCTTTATCTTGTGTGATTGGAACTGTGAATTTCTCAAGACATTGAACATGTCTTATACTGTTTGTAGAAGTTGTCATATAAATGGTTGCAGCACCTAAATTGTGTAAATAAACTAAGTGTAAACATCTAGCTTGTTACATCCAATAACTGTAGGATTTTAGTTTTCTCAACTGACAGAGTCTGTTAAAGTATACAAGTTTCTTTTTACAGATAAAATAATTGGAAGACTGATCATGGGTCTACAGGAACGAGGGATTCATTTTTCAGTAATTTATACTGCAATGAGACCTTCAAGGGTGAGTAATATTCAGTGCTTAGAACTGTCAAATTTTTGGCATCTAACAACTTAATATTTACTGAGAAATGCTGTACATGATTACACAACCAAAAAATCTATATTATGTGAGGTTTTGACCAAAAACGATTGCTTGAATTTTCATGTGCAATAGCTCTATCACAGAACTGTTGAAGTCTTGCAGTTCTAGGAGACTATGAATCTGGTACATCTTACTTGTCTTTAGAACATATTATTTTTAAGTAAGGTAGGATTAGATTTTTTTTTCCATTTAACTCTACAGTTGTATAATATGTTCTATGTGGAGACTTGGTTAACTTATCAGGCTTTTCTCGGTGTGGCTGATTCATGTCTAGGCCAGGCCAGTGAAGAGTGAGTGCTGTTAATTAATTGAAGGCTTAAATTAATTGGTGGTTTCATTCCTTCTAGTCAATATTTAGTATTTACAACTGGAACCCAAAATTCATAATTTACACCTTTGATGATAGTCAGAACACTGTTTGTAGATGACATCAAATCATGTTAGCAGTAAGTAGCAGTGGGGAAAAGTTATTTATGCAGAATTATCTGTTTTATATGAGCTACTGGTTATAATCAAGCAATATTTATATTTTAATGCAATTAAATGGAAGACAGTCATGCCTTGAGGAAAACAGAATGCAGCTCCTGTTGAAGAGAGTCATAGGAGGGATGGACTGTATCCTAAAAAACAGAAAGGAATTGAAAGGAAATTATCTGTTCCAGTGGATAACACATCTGAGCTCCCAAGATGATGCTTCATTTAATTTGAGCTTTGAATTCAAACTCAGAATAGTGTTACTGAGAATACAGAAATTATAATTTCCTTGTCATACGCAACAGGAAAATAATTACTGGAATTCTCTGTTTAGTGTGAGTGTGAACACTGTAGACAGGATCTTGGAAAGATGGAGAGATATCAGAAGGGGAACATTAAGTACAATTCAGGGCATGGAAAACTTGCTTTAAAGAGATATGGAGTGAAACATATTTAGCTTATCCAAAGAAGAGTAAAAGTCAACTTGACTTTTGTTTATAAATTTTATTTAAACTAAAAGTGGATGGCTACCTCAAAGGTGTTATGTATTCAATTAGAATTGATCTATATTTTTGCAGGGAAGTAGGATCTTGAACCAGCGGCTATCCATCAAGGTGATCAGAATGACCCTTTCAGACCCTAGGCAAAAGGCTACTTTAACTGAAGGAAAACAAGAACTCTCTTTGATAATCTTCCTTGCTAACCTTATTTCCAGCGATGGGTTTTCGAGACGAGAGCGAGAGTATGAAGGCAGAGTATCAGGAAGTTCACGTTGCTATTGTCAGTGCTGTTATTTTTCACAGAATCACAGAATGGTTGAGGTTGGAAGGGACCTCTGGAGATCATCCAGCCCAACCCCCCTGCTCATGAAGGGTCAGCTAGAGCACTTTACCCAGGATTGTGTCCAGATGACTTGTGAATATTTCTAAGGAAGGAGATTCCACAACCTCTCTGGGCAACCTGTTCCAATGCTCAGTCACCCTCACAGGAATGAATGGTTTCTCCTCATGTTCAGATAGACCTTCCTGTGTTTTAGTTTGTGCCTGTTCCCTCTTGTCCTGTCGCTGAGCACCACAGAGAAGAGGCTGGCCTCATCCTCTTGCCACCTTCCCTTCAGATACTTGTACACATTGATCAGATCCGTCGTCAGTCTTCTCTTCTCCAGGCTAAACAGGCCCAGCTCTCTCAGCCCTTCCTCATAGGAGAGATGCTCCATATCCCTTCATCATCTTAGTACTGCTTTGCTGGACTCTCTTCAGGAGCTCCATGTCTCTCTTGTCCTGGGGAGCCCAGAACTGGACACAGTACTCCAGGTGAGGCCTCCCCAGGGCTGAGTAGAGGGGCAGGATCACCTCCCTCGACCTGCTGGCAATGTTCTGCCTAATGCAGTCCAGGATGCTATTGCGCTTCTTGGCCACAGGGGCACATTGTTGGCTCATGGTCAACTTGTTGTCCACCAGCACTCCCAGGTCCTTCTCGGCAGAGCTACTTTCCAGCAGGTCAGCCTGGAAATGGTGCATGACGTTATTCCTCTCTAGGTGCAGGACCCCGCACTTGCCTTTGTGGAATTTCATGAGGTTCCTCTCTATCCATCTCTCCAACCTGTCGAGGCCCCTCTGAAAGGCAGCACAGCCCTCTTGTGTATCAGCCACTCCTCCCAGTTTTGTATCATCAGCAAACTTGCTGAGAGTGCACTCTGTGCCTTCATCCAGGTCATTGATGGAATAAGTTAAACAAGACTGGACCTAGTACTGACCCCTGGGGGACACCGCTAGCTTCAGGCCTCCAACTAGGCTTTGTGCCACTGACCACAACCCATTGAATTCTGCCATCCAGCCAGTTCTCCCTCCACCTCACTGTCCACTCATCCAACCCACACTTCCTGAGCTTGCCTGTGAGGATGTGATGGGAGAGAGTGTCAAAAGCCTTGCTGAAGTCCAGGTAGACAACATCCACTGCTCTCCCCTCATCTACCCAGCCAGTCCTTCCATCATAGAAGGCTATCAATCAGATTGGTTGAGCATGATTTCCCCTTTGTGAATTCATGCTGATACTCTTTTACCACATTTCTTGTGGTAAAGGAGAGGGCTTGAGTCTCCAGGAGTTCTGACCCGCTTTTCTTGTAAGTACAGCGTTGATCTTTTATGAAGATCCAAAAAGGAAAAAAAAGATATTCCAGGTCTTTACTGTTTGAAATGAAAGGGAGATGGCCGTTCTTAGCTGCAAATTTGCATTTGGAACAATGGGAAAGAAAAATATTTCTAATTAATGAAAGAATTGGTGTCAAAAGGAGGAATTTTTGTAGCAATGTTAAAAGTCTATTGAATTTTAAAATTCATGCATATTTCAACAGGCTTTTTAAATTAAATAACTTAATTTGAGAAATTGGAATACTTTTAAATAATTAAAGCATTTATTTTAAAATGTTCTGCATTTGAAAAACTAACCTGTTAAACTTTTCTTAATTCTGTAAATTCAAGCCCATATAAAACTACTTAAAGTATTTTTTTCACAATACTTTTAAGTTACTGCAGCACATTTAAGTTACTGCAGCACATTTAAGTTTATCAGCTTCTGTACAGAGTAGGAGAGGCAAAAGGAAAACTACGTTTGAGGGGTTGATCTGTCTGTACATTTGCATATAACCTCTTCTCAGTATGTATTGCATATCTTTCCCTGTGCTTGAGCTACTGAAGACGTGAACTGTTTTGTAACCATAAGCTAAAGGACTGATTCCTTCTGCTTAAGCTATAAAGGCTGTATTCTATTATCCAGGAGTTAACGGGGTCACTCCCCAGTGATAACTGAGAAGATCATTATATATGGGAAGTAAAGACTTTGATCATATGGGAGAAGATTTTACATTACTCAGTACATTTGAAAATCAATACCAATCACTTAATATGAAAGATTTGCATTTACTAAGTAGCTTTTTCCCCACTGATGAAGAAAATGAGTATTTTTCAAAAAAAGACAGCCCCTTCTGATCAGGTAAATTCATTTTACGCAATGAAGCTCCCGTACACTAGAGCTAAGAGGTTATTTCTCTTTGGATAGCTCTACCTTCTTGATGATGGACAGTTAATGGCTTCAGAGCATCTTCTTGTTATATCTGTTCATCCTTCATTGTCTCAAAAGAGAGAAAAACAACTATAAGGGATGTATATATTGAACAAGATTCCAGACTGGAATTTGCCTCACAGAAAATGAATTAATGGGATAAGAAGCTGAACTCTCCTGTGATTGAGTCTCTTTTCTGACTTGTCGAGGAAGAGCTGTTTGGTTTAGTCAGGGTAGCCACGGAGATCCCTTTGGGTTATAGTAGTTATCAGTTAACAACTGCAGTGCAAGATGGAGATTTATGCAGGCTAGTTCCTGTTCTGTTCCAATGTCAAGATTTGAAGTTGGTAGGGTGTTAAGACCCTGAAACAGTGGATGGTTGCTGACCTAGATGAAATGGTTTCATGAACCAGTTACTGATTCCTCTGTATATCGCATTCTGTTATAAAAAAGCTACCTTCCTCCAACAAAGCAACTGTCAGTTCTTACAACTCTTTGCCTTTGTGGTCTGGCTGAGTTACTCTGACACTGATTTTTGTCGCTTAATTTTGGACATTTGAAATGTAGATGTCTGCCTCTGAAGTCATCAACCAAGGCTCTCCGTACAATCAAGAGAGAGAGGTGTTTTTACAGTGTAATTCCTCTGACCTCTTTTGTAGTTGTCTGCTGCAGGATAAGCTAAAACTCACCGTTTGATTTCTCTCTGAAAACTGTAAAGGCAGTCTACATGCTTTGATCAGCTCTATACATATAGTCAGGTAAATCTCACTCAACGTTTTTGATCTTCATGTGTATTAAAAAAACTTGAGCAAACTTTTAAATTACTCCCAAGACTTGAGGAATCTCTTACCAAGAACTTTCTACTCCTTGAAAGTCATTCGATAGCTTTTTTCTGTAGGAGAATCAAAACATTCTGCAGTCCTGGGTTCATTCTTGCATCTGGAAGTAGTTTTCCTTCCAGAGGGAAAATTTCCTGTCTTCCTCAGTCCCCTTGGAGAATGAGACCCTGGGGATGAAGGAGGGCTCCCAGCTCTAATGAGCAAGACCAGGAGAGGCACTGGCCCAAGCTACTGTGCCCTGCTGCCTCCTGTCTGAGCAGAGCGTCCTCTCGTGTCCTGGAATTCCCAAAGCCTCATAAGGGAGGAGGATGTGAAGAACTGAGGAAACAAGTCTAACCAAAGGATGTTATGGGAGTCTACTCTGCTCTTTTTCACCAGCCAGCTCTCATTCACATTAGTTGCTAGAGAAATAACTTCTGTGTTCTCTGATGAATGCTTACAAGCTCCTCCTGCCACTCTCATAAATGGTCTATGATAGTTTCAGCTAATGTGGAGTTCTCGGGAATATATGAATTTTTGTGTTCGTGGAGACTGTGATCAAAGTCA